GTGCTCTGCTGAAAACCACAATGATGCCATATCTCTAGAGTTGGTTTTTCTTTATCGGCCTTGCCAATTTAGGGAAGGGAGAAGATGATAAACTGATGGTGGACACTGTAGAATAGCTGCAGTGACTGTTGTTGTAAATCAGGTTGTCAGGTGTCTGAGGTGGAGTCTTGGTGCTATAGGAAATCATCCAACCCCAACATGTAGGGATTTGATCAATTGTAAATTCTCTTTTAAATAATTTGATCCAAATATGAGATATTTTAAGTTGCTTGCTTTATAAATTTATATATATATTTTTGAATAACAGGTGGAATTAATAAAAGGTTTCAGCTAGATAAGTATTTACCTTTGAATCATAGATGGTTCATACCCCAACTTTGTAATTTAGTTGAAAAGGTATATTTCAAATTTGTAAAATACTAACCTAGACAAGTAGAAGTTATCATTTTTGAAACTTAATAGTTCTGTTTTGGGCAATGTAACTTAAATACTTGCTATCTTTAAAATATAAGTATTTTAAAAGATTTAAAATACTGAATAAAATAATATAGCCATCTTTTCACATGGTTGGGTGAGTTCACATAGATGTCAAGGATTTCACCAGAGATAATAGCAACAAGCAGAAATGCTGTGTGGCTTTTCTTCACTTTGAATTTGGGGTTTGAATTTACATGTTATAGTTGAGAACCTGACGTTGAGAAATCAACTTGAAATTTCTTAGAGCAATTTGTGCAGGTAAGTGCATAATTTTTTCAGAGTTCCACATTTTTTATCCTGGAGGTAAAGGATTCACATAGAAATTGCCTTGCCAGATATGTCCCCAAAATTCACAATAACAAAGCCCAAGAGATAATTCACTCATGAGAAGTGGGTGTAACAAATAACAAGATTAGAACTCTCCTCCTACTGGGAAATTCATCAATGATTTACCCCACAGCACTCCTCAAAAAATTATATCTGAAATAAAGATATAAAAAAGAATTGAGAACACAAGAAACTAAAAGTATAATGTTATAGATAGAGTGCACAATATATATGGTCTTCTCTAGTGTAAATATATACTGCTCTAGTAGTTTGGAGAATGAAGAAAACAGAAAGTATTGATGTCATATCTGAATTTGATACTAAAATGTGTTAAAAAAGGAAAACCTAGTTAAAGGGATATTACTTCTTTCAAATCAATGGTACCATAGCATCCTGTATAATGAATGTCTATAAAATACAACACATTAGTTTCTGAGGGTGCATTTTAAATTGAAATGAAGACCCTCACAGATACCATAACCCACAGTCTTGTCTTTATTCAGAATAGCTAAGATAGATGCCAGTTATAAATTATGTGAAACATCCCAGATATTACCAAACAATACACCTTGTGAGAGCATGCATAGAACACTGCAAAACTATCTTATAATAAGGCAGCTAATTCAAAGTGGTTAAAATCACATTCAAGATACAGAATTTGGGCCCTCCCAGATGGCGCAATGGATTAGGACCCAGCACTGCAAGCTGGACACAGCCACCTCAGTGCAAGTTTGATCCCTGCCCCTTGAGATGACCCACATGGAATGGCAGACCTCTCCTGACCCACCCGCTGCTCCCCTCAGCAGTGTACTTGTGAATCTGCCTGTTCTGCTCCCCACTCTGTCTCTAGTGAATCCTCTCACTGCCCATGCACCTCTGGCCTATACCCCAGTTCTGAATGTATAAATAAGTAGGTCTTTTAAAAAAGATATAGAATTCGTTTTGCTTGCTCAGCAATAACAAATTCTGTCTAAAATCACTGAACCTCAAATGTGTTAGGTTTTGTAAAGCAAATAAAGAATTGTTGTATTTCACTAGTAGAATATGATATGATGGGGATCAAATGTTATCTGCTTTAGATTTTATCTCAATTAATAAAAGAAAGACTGTAATATAGATTACCAAGGAAATTTATTTTTTTCCCAAGGATGATGAATTCATTGAAAACACCTCCCCTACTTTTTTCTTTTTAAATCATCAATATATAAACTCTAAGGCCAACAGTTTCTCATCCTAGCCAGTTGTTTTAATGTGGTGTGTTGAGGCCAATAGGCTGTCAGGTGTCAACTTTCTAAAGATCATATTCCATGTGGGAAAATGTGTCGTGCTCTTGTGGCAGAAAGGGAACTGTTTATTCCATGCATTATGTAGTCGTTTTAGCCTTCTTATGAACTTAATATCTTTTCACAAACTGGTGGCTGACTCACTGTTGCTGCCGAACTTCTTTTGTCAGAGAAGAATGAAATATAAAAGCTGTCAACTAAATTTTGACAGTAATAACTATGTGTAGCCACAGTCATAAATTCCCTTTTTTGTGGCTGTGGGTTTAATCTTTCATCTAAACTCTCTACTGTATTGTAGTTATTCATGAAAGTCTATTTTGCCTATTTTCATGCAGCCTACCATTTAGTGTAATGAGTTCATAATGTAGCTATTTGCATAGAATTTGAGATTTCCCTTATTGTTTCTTTCTCATTGTTTGTTCTCTTATACTAACCACCTACCTACTATCAGCCTCCATGAAGGAGGAACAAAAAGAAGTCAAAATCCAATCCTTTGTCTACAAAAGCATGGTCACCCTAAGAATTGCTATAATCTCTTCTACTTTCTTTACCTGCTAAATCAAGCTACAGATTGAAACGAATGTAGCTTGAAACAGAAAATCAGTAATGAAACTATCAGATGTTATCTACAGCTCTCTACACTACCAGCTCTAGTCCACTAAGTTTCTGCACTTGAGTCTTAAATATATTTAAGTTTTGCTGTAGACTCCAAAAAACTAAACAATTAGGAAGTAATAGGCTTTGATTGAATTGACTTTTTTTTAATCTGTATATATTTGAATAGTGATGCAGAAGTTCTAGTAACAAACATTTGGTTTTGTACAGAGATTATGTCCATTTCAGTGATTAAGCCCAGTAAATGTAACATGCCTTTCCCATCCCCAGGGGCCTCCCCCATATTATCACCCTGAATTTCCAACTTTATCCTGTGAAAATAACTGATTTTTAAAAAACATTTATTTATTTATTTATGCATACAAGAACTGGGGTGTAGGCCAGTAGGCCAGAGATGGGAACAGAGTATGCATGCATGTGTGTGTGTGTGTGTGTGTGGAGGGTGTGTGCAAAAGGGGAGCATTGACTGACATACACTGATGAGGGGAGCAGCAGGTGACACAGGAGAGGTCTGCTGCACCATGTGGGTTAGCTCCTGGCAGGGAACTGAACTCGTGCTGCAGTGGCTGCAGGCAGCATCATAGTGCTGAGCTTCAACCTGCTGTGTCATCAGGGAGGGCCTCAAGCTTGACTTTTTAATTCACTCCGTGTTCACAGATTCTTAAATATCTAGAATATTTTATAATTTTGATTGTAGTTAAATAGACATGTTTATGGGCTAATATTTTACATCTTACTATAAGTAGTAAAGCCTCCTTGTTTTAACATGTATTACTTTTTGTATAATTAGTTTGAGTAATGATTGTCTGGTTAGTTTGAGAGCATTGACTGCCTACTCAATTTACAAGAAATGACCAGTAAACTTTCAATGTATACTGAAATTATTTAAACTTGTCAAGAATTTTTAATGTCTATAAATGTGCAAATTAATACGTCTGTGTGTATTGATGTGTGTATGTGTGTTATGTGTCTCTGTGTGTAAAGGGACACATAGCAACTTACAATTTTGAAGTTTTGTGTGTGTGCTTTCATACTTAAAACATGAATTTATAAGCAAGTGTCTTGGCTCCTGGAATTAATAATCATGTAGCAATTCATGTAGGAAGTATGGAAGTGATTATGATATAGAGAACAAGTGTTAATTATCACTGAATTTAGGACACAAATCTTTTTATATCATAGATGTTGGACATTCAATATATTAGAATGTCAAGACTTCATCAAAGAATAGGAAATCATTACCGAAGAGGTGTCTGAATACAAGAAATTGTATTAGGTAGTTATCCTATTAGGTAGTTTCTGTGTAGTTACACATCCTTTCTTCTCTGCCCCTCTCTGTTAAATGAACCTGATAATAATGCTGGTAACTCATGAGAGCTGCTAAGGAACTCTTCATCATGCCAGCACAACTTTCACTCATTTATGAGGCATAGATCCTCTTTATGAAGTTCATTTTAAAATATTAGAACTGTTCTCAGATGGCAATCTAGGTAGTCAGTTGCTTCCAGAGAATGTTCATAATGCTGAAATAAAAAGTTCTTGTCTAATTGAGTGCTTGTCATAAAGGATGGAAAGATGTGGTGTGAAGGGGAGGTTTCCAGGGCTAGGAGACTTTTAAAAGTCAAACAGAATATTTCTTTTGGTGTTATTTTCCATTTGTGTTGCAAAATGTTCAATAATAAGTGCTCTGGGTAGGTGAATATGTCAAGTTTACACTATAATGGGGTTTACATTGAACATAGATGGAAATAATTTTAGTCTGCTTTTAACTCTTAAAGAAAAATATATGAAAACATTTAGATATTTAAGGAATGATGATAGGACTTTCACTTTTCTCTCAAAGGATAGTAATTATTTTGTGAATAAAACAGAGTAGATCAAAAATTAGTAACAATGGCCATCTTTTATGACATCAGGATAAAACAGGTGTTTTTGTTTGTTTGATAGTGCTGTCTTTAGCAGTTATAAAAAGCTAATATAGGCTTGAAAGGACGTATGATGTGCAGGAATGGGGTAGGTGTAACTAATACGGCCAGGTAAGACGCTGCCATGAATTACTAATGAGACTTTCAGCCAGAAGGTTACCTGCAAGTTCTAAAGCATCAGATGCTGTGTGTGGTTAGAAAGGCTGGAATTCCTTTTGGAATTACTTTATTACAAGTTTTAAAGTTTTAAGAATTTGAGCACTCCACAAACAGGCACACTTCTAAGATGCTCTCATAACAAAGACCAACAATTTGATTACATTTCAGGGAGAAAGGCTACACTGAAATGAACATTGTGAGAAAACTCAATTTCATGATACCTTGGAGTAGATTCCTGCTTCATATACTGCTGTTTTTATTACAAGGTAAGAATTTATATTTCCCTCCTTCCTTTCATTGTCTTTTGGTGTCTGTTATAACTAAGGGGAATAGGTTACTCCTACAATGTAAAGCACTTTTAAGATATTAAAATGGATATACACTAAATGATACCCAGGCTATCTTTCTGAAAAATTTTAATACCATAGATAATTTGGGACATTCAGGTTTTATTTTTTGAAATGTTTTATTTTAAAAAAATGTCATGCTTTATTTGGTGATATGTAACTGCCAGAAGGTGATTCTTTTTATTTTCTAATAATGGTTTACAAAGATTGTGTGATTTAAGCATTTGAATTGTTATAGTAAATACAGAGAATTTGAGAAATTAAATTTTCTTCATGTGATCAACTCACAGAATAGTGTATACATATCTTAAATATGACCTTAATATTTGGGGCTAAGAATTAATTTTCAGATTTTTATAGCAATTTTATTCATACATTAATTTTAATAAAATGTTTTTACAGAGAAACCATTTACTTACATTCAGTTGTTATTTTTTAATTCCTGAAAAGAGCTGTGTATTTTTGGAGCTCATGGAAGAAGTGGGAAAAATTACGCTAGTGTAAAAGACTAAAGAGACACTATCTTCTAATTCTAGTGGTGACTGACACCCCAAGGAGGTAATGTCACAAAGTATGGAGTATTGAAGGGGATACTGGGGATGGATTTGTTCTGAACCATCATTTTGTGATTGTTTGGTATCTTGCTCCCACCTGGCATTTATTATTAGGACTAATACTAAAACTGGGGCCTCTGATTCCAAGTCTAGTGGTTGTTCCACTGTCTCTTAGGGAATTTTGTGGTCAAAATCAAGAAAATGCAAAATAACCAACAGTAACACTCCCTTGAAATTTTAGGATGTAGGTAAAATGAGCTATCTAATAACCAGAATATATGACTATAATATTTGGATAATTTTTTTCTCATTCTTTTACATACATATATTTATCTCTGATAGGATATACTTGTGCACCATCCCTCTTGACGGGAACATCAAAGTGAGTATTGCTTTTGATTTTCTCTAAACAAAGCCAATGGGAATAAGTAAAGCCCAGCAAATAATTGTTTCAGCTTTTAAAAAATGCAGTATTTTATAAAATTAGAATATGAAATGCTATTATTTAAATAAAGTTCCTGAAAGTTAAATATTATCAGACACTCAGTTCCTTATTACTTACGAAACACAAATATTCCCTTTCATTTCAGAGGAATTCTTGGTGTTGACCAATGACTATACATTTTTAAGGAGATATTACTTTTATTTCAAAGATTTGTGAAGAAGTCATATTCAGTAATTTCCCTTTTTTATGCCATTATTAATATATGTTTATTGCAAATGGACTGTACTCTTAAACAATATGTAATGATAAAAATGAATAATGGTTCTAGCAATAAGAAATGAAAGTAATTTTTGGACAATATTTTAACGAAAAATAGAATTTATGAAAATAATTTTTGGACTACATTTTAATGACAAACAGAATTTAACTTACCATTGGATTTTTATAAATCGCAGGTTGATGTACTTACATTAATGATACTTTTCTCTTTATGACATGGAAGGAAGAGAATTACATATTATGTTTAAGAATAGTGACTATGATCTTGGCAAACACCAGTTTTCTGAAGTAAAGTGGAGAAAATATCATGTGTGTTGGTGCTACAGTATTACACTATTTTGTTATTTCTCTAGCTCAAAGTTCCTTCCTAAACTTCAGTTTACATCAGAGACAGGAGAGATTTGGGGACATTCCCGAATTTTGTAAAATGATACAGTGTCACCTCCCAAATCTAACCCCTCCGAGAGGGGAGGGGGACCTTTTGAATGTTAAACCAAGAAAGACCTCTTTGATAAAGTGATGGAAATCAGGAGGAAAACACCAGCTCTCTCTTGGGAAAAGCTTGTTCAGGTTGCCTAGGGGCCTTTGACTATACAAGTTCTTTTTGTTTTTCTTCCAGAAACGGGTTTAATGAAAATCGACAGAAAAGAGCTCTTTTAGCAACACAGGTAGGTTATGCCTCAGATGGAGAGAGGCAGAGAAATAACCCATTCTGCTTCAGGACTCTGCTGTCACTTCAACAATGAAACCTTTGTGGAGGGGAATACAATGTTAAAAACAAGTTAAGAGAGAGGAGGAAGAGGCAACTTTTTTACCACTTTTCTGCAACCCTCAAATCCATGCTTAAGCATACATGTACTTATTCAAACTTAGTATTTTTTTTTTTCTATTCCCTTCAGTTACCAACTGATAGACTGACAGCTTTTGTGGGTGATTTGATCTCATCTACATGCTAGAAAAGTTTAGTTGGTCTAAAGATTAAGCACAGTATCAGGACAGTGACAATAGTACACACAGAAATAAAAGAGATAGAGGTATAAATGCTCTCCATTAAGTACTGCAAAAGGACATCAGAGTTGTCCTACTCGCTCTTATGACTGACAAATCTAAATTACAGGCACTTCTTGAGAAGTAACTCTTATCTACTTATTTATTTATTTTGAAGGGCAGGGTAACTGAATTTAAGGAAACTTTTTTGCTCAGGTTTCTTTATATCAAGGATATTGGGTGACATCATTACAATATTTTCAAATTATGATTGTCATATTCAAACAAGTGGGTTTATAAAAATATTTCTCTATAAAAGGTTTTCAAATAGAGAATCATAACTTAATGAAGGCATTTCTTTGGAAAGTAATATGATTTGAGTATTTATTCAGCAAATACCTTATATATTCAAGGAGGCTTTTGTTAAATGCGGAATTGCCACAAATATCTACTAACAGTTTTAATGGATTCCTAAATTTGTATATTTCATGGCACTAATAAAAGAGAATTGAAGACAGATTTGATATGCTGTTGTGACAATTTAGAAGGCAAAACTAATTTATTCTTTCAAGAATAGAGATGTTTTTTGGTTTTTTTTTTTTTTTGGATACCAGATTGGGCAAAGGATTGTCTCTGGAATGAAACACTTTTTTTTGTTGTTGTTGTTAAAAATGAATGTGTCATGTTCTGAAGTACTTATCTATCATGTAATGTTGTTAAAATGACTTTTTGCTGAGAAATTTTAAGTACATGTTTGCTAGTAGACCATATTAACCACAAAAAGACATCACAATGACTCAGTAGAAAATCTTATTTTGGGAAAACCTGCCTTCTGGTGAACCCACCATATTGGAGAACCTGTGAAATATACCTCAGAGTTGTCACATGAAACAAATGGAGTATTACCCATTTAGATGGTTTCATAGTTTGGGTGATTTGGGGTTACATCAACAAAGGAGTTACATCAACATGCTGTCTCTGTGAATGAATGAGAAACACTCTTACTTTCCCTTGATTTCCCTTGAAGAGAGAATTAAGAGCAAGCTACCTGAGCTTCTATTTTCTCATGCATAAAAATCATTTATTATCTGAACATGTTTTAAAGAAGGGATGTTAGAGATATACCATGAGGTTGTAATTGTGTGTTATACAGTTCAGGACTAAAATTTCATCTCTTACAAGGATATTCTTATTCACAGATTCACTCCCATGTTGTAGGAAGACAGAGCGTTGATGGCTAGATTACCTGTGTAAGGACTCAAAAACATGTTGGCAATGAGATAAACAGTGCTCGAAGAAAGGATAGACATGGAAGTCTGTCAATAGGATGTGTGCAAGGCTAGAATTTCTTATCTAAAGACTGTATTTTTCCGTGCCTCTCTCTCTTCTGTATAGATGTAAACAGCAAGGAGGAAGGATGGGCTTTTTTGGTTTTGCTAACATCATCTGCTACTCAATTTGTTAATTGCATCATAAACTTGGGATGTGTGTATTCCACTGGTGAACAACAATGCTATCAGAAAGGATATTGCCCCAGATATTGTCAGAGTCTAATAAATAAAACAAAACAGCAACCCATAAGTACTTCATTATAGTAATCTACAATTGTTTGCTAGTAAACTATATTGACCTCTAAAAATCTTAAGGTTTTATCTGGGTTGCTTTGATTAATATAAATCTCTTTATTGCTCATCATCTTTGTGTGAGGCACTTTGCTGGGATCTTTACATTCTCTGAGTTGTCATAATGGTGTAGTGAAGACGGCACCACTGTCTCTATTAACAGATGAGTAAAAGAGGGCACTAAGAGTTAAGGAAGTTTGCTAAGATTAGTAAGGGCAGAATCAGAATTCTAATCCAAGTATATTTAAATCTATAATTAATGCTTTTAACCACTACCCTAAAGTACTTGGACTCTAGAAAATGGTATAGTTATATGTTCTATGAATATTAAAATATAAACTCTGGAAACTGAGGATGACATATACTGGTATCTTTCAAAGGGAGTCTGTTGGGAGGGGCCTTCGCTGTCTGTGTGTCCTTAACACATTCTCTGGCCCATTTATATTTGGAAATATCAGACAATTATAGGCTGTCAAACTGCTACTTCTGCAGAGCAGTTAGTTATGTTGGCTCCATCCAGATCAGCTTTCTTCCAAAGAGGGCTTTGAAAGATAGAACTGTCATGAGAGAACATAAAGGACTGTGAAATTCATAACGAGACAAAACCCTATCTTAAAGACAGGTCTTTTTTTTTTTTAAGATTTATTTATTTATGCATACAAGAGATGGGGGTGGGTAGGCCAGAGGAACAGAGAAGGGGTGGGTGAGAGGATTCACCAGAGGAAGAATGGGGAGCAGAACAGGCAGATCTACTGAAATACACTGCTGAGGGGAGCAGTGGGCCAGATGGGAGAGGTCTGCTGTGCTGTGTGGGTTACCTCCCTGGCAGTGGAAGGAACTTGTGGTATGATGGCTACTGATTGTTTGAGATGCTGAGACTTATCCCCTTGGCTCACCAGAGAGACCCAAAGTCCCATCTTCTAAACATAACCCCAGAGGAGCCCTTTCTGTGAGTTTGCCTCAATAACCCAAGGAAATACAGACCCCCGCCCTTGATAATTACCATTTTTGTAGCTATTTTCTAGGTTTTCCAATTTGTATATCAGGCTAGGACTAAATAAATATCTTGTATTCTTCTTTTAAAGTTTGAAGCAACTTCTCCAAGATATTTCTTTCATGAAGCTATCAGTTGGAGTGAAAACAAAATAAAAGGTTAGTGCTACATCTATATTTCTGTGTTCCCTTTCTCAAAAGACCTCTATACTGGGATATATTGAACCACCTCTTTATTGCTTCCACATAACTCATGAAGGAAATGGTACCAGGTGGTAATAATACTTAGCAATATACTTCATATATAAATTTTGATTTATCTTTGGATATAAGTAGGGCTCACACAAAATTGATACACTATGAATAGGATATCAACACTTTTTTTCTGAATCCTTTATTCATTCCTTCATTCCTTGACATAGCTATTTTTGCATAACAATTTCCTGTTTCCATTAAACAGAATGCTGATGGTAGTTAGACATTACTTAAGTTTTTGTTGCAATAAAAATAACAAGAAATTCCCTCTGTGTTGGTATTGTACTTGTTTTCAGGAGCATAAACATGGCTTGTACATACATTTTTGAAGGAGATAGATTTGTTTTTCTGAATACTTAGACACTAACTCCTTGGAAAAATGTCAGATTGTGATATAAGATAAAATTTAAAGGTAGATTTCCCCTGGGGGTTTGGGGGGAAGGAACTGCATTAAATTTATGAAAAGCTTTTTTTTTAACCTATATTTATGATCAAAGTTGAAACAGCTCATTTTTCCTCACTAGAGATTGATTTAGATTTGTACCTTTAAATGTAAAGAGACATTTTAGATCAATGGATCTTAAGGTAGAAGAGTTTTTAAATTCTTGCCTTTGGCAGAACTGTGATTAAATTATCACAGTTAGAAAAGTGCTTTCCATGACCTTACAGTATTCCAGAGAGGCCCCATCTTTAATGCTTTATGTGACTCACAGATGTCTTTAGCCCTCTTGATGTGTTCCTTAAATTCCTACTGGGAAATTTTTGCCAGTTCCCTCTTACTCTGTCCTTATTAGAGAAAAATTGTTCACTGTGATTCATTTGCATTTAAAAAACTCAATCAGGAGCTCATAGTTTCCCATGTTTTCATTTCAACATAATCCTTTGAGGTGATTTTTCTTTCCAGGAAAGAAAAATATATATATCTCTGGGGATGACCAGCAGTGACTATAGCTTCTACCCTACTGAAATTAAGTAGCGGTCAGAAAGACCGCAAACTGAGCCTGATGACTAATACACAATCTTGAAATGAAATGTTTAATCATTCTCGTCCAAAAAATGGGAGTTTCCTTTTGAAATTTCAGCTTTGCTGATTGGTGGAGCTAGTGATGGGGGCTGTTGTTGAATATAGCACTTGCTCATGGAGTGGGAGCCATTGGGTGTGTGGGTGCCACACTCTGTCCACAGAACATGTGCAGCTTGTGTATTTCTGGTTCTCTTCATCTGGGAATGGGATTCCTTACATGGGAACTTGACCTTTAAATTGCCTGAAAGAGGTTAACCTTTGCTCTCAGGGTAGTTTGAGATGTGAAAGCCTGTCTTTCTTGTTTCACAGCACACATAATGAAATGGACTCGATAGAGATTGGACAGATTTAATTTATTAGCTCATCAAGCAAGAGACCGAGGATTCTGTTTGAGTTAACAGTGATTACAGTTAGTCCAAGCTAATCATAGCATATTATGTTTATAAGAACTGATGCATGCCAGCGGATAACTCATTTTTGTTTCTCAGGTTCTTGTCCTCATGAATGCCTTAACGGGGCTTTCTGCTCTAAGACTGGTACATGTGACTGTCAAATATTTCAGGCCCTTGGGACAAGGTGCCAGATTGGTAAGTTTGAGGGAGATTTATGAGAGAATTAAGAGATGATGGAGAAAGCATTAAGATGTAACTTGTTACATTAGTGTTTATCCATTTGGACTTGGGAAACTCATTTTGTATGTTACGTAGAATGCTCACTATTCTTTCTCAGTAATTTAGAAGATGTAAAAGAAAATAGATATGAACTCCTTTTCTTCTTATGCATGTTTACTATTGCAAGTACTATTTTGTCAAACATTTCCCCACTTTTTGGTACTAGACATTTAAAATAAGGTTCCCATTCATTTCTCTTTTGCTTTATATACACACACACACAGATAGATTATCCCCCCAAATTTTGTTAATTGAGGTAAAGTAGCTTTACATTTTTTTGTATCGGCTTTGAGGGTTATAAATTCTAACTTCTACAAATTATATTTTCATGCCCTGCCCTCCACCTGTGACCCAACAATCCTCTATCAAGAACCATTGGGTCCCTTCCCTCCCCCACCCTCCCCCTCTGTTGCCTCAGGTTTGCAGTGAGAGTTAATTATTGGTTTGGTTTTTATATCAGAAACTATAAAATATATTAAGGAAAAAATGGGTAAAACACTCCACGATACTGACTCTTTTGTTTTATAAATTAGAATTGCTGTTTGAAGATACTGATTCTTTTTGGCTTTGAATTAATTAGACATACTATACATAAAAATAATAGTAGTAACTGAAACCTTTTCAAAGACAGAGGATTCCCAAAACTATTTTTTAGGCACAGCGTTTAACATAGGAGCCTATGTCAATAATGATCAGTGAATACTTGTTTAATGAGCACTTACTCAGGAACTACTAGACCAATAATTGCATTTCAGACATGGGCTCTGAAGGAAAGCTCAAGATTTTATTGAAATATACAGCAGAGGTAAGCTTTACTATCAAAGAAGATTACTGAATATTGAGCTACTCTATGTGCTTTGCTGGAAAAGCCAAAGGAAATTAAGGCTAATAAATTTAGGTAAAAATTACAAAAAAGATGCAATGTGTCTTACCTTTATGCTCCTGTAGAGTATATGAAAATGCTTCACATATAGTGAGTGGTCGTAAGTATTAATCTCCATAATCCTTAAATAGAATGGTCTTGAAAATCTAAAGAGAATTGAGGACTATTCATAAGGGTAAGAAAGGGAGGTAGGCATGAAGATAATAGCAGATGAAGTTGAACATATGAACATTGTTTGAAATTTGGTCAGTGTGAGGCCATGAATTCCTCACACAAACTTTGGGTGATTAATATTCCCATACATAGAAATGATTTTTTAGGCCAGTGATTATTTTTCTTTGTGGATGATATTAAGATTTTTTTAACAAACTGAAAAGACTAAGATACTCTACAACTACCTGTGCTTATTTTTAGGACTCTTAGTGGTGACATTTCTTTCTTTTCTGAGTCACTGTATTTACTTTTTTCCCTGTCACCTTTTATCTTATCATTCTCCTCCTCCTCTCTTTCAGAGTCTTCCCTTGGAAGTAAAATTTAAGGAAGTTTCTAACATAAATTCTTCCTTTAAAGTAACATAGAGATCATATTTTTCTTCAGGTGTTTGATGGTTTTGAAAGCAGCTAGAAATGTTATGTTGTTTATTTCTTCCTGTGATAAAGACTACCAAAAAAGAAAGTGTTTAAAAAAAAATAATAGTATCACTTTCCATGACTGAGCCTTGTTAGAAATCAGTCTATATTATTCTACTGAATATTATCTTATTTCTTTTCAGTGCCAAATATGGGCAATGCTAGAGATGGGATTTGCAAAACCTGGGGCCAGTACCACTTTGAAACTTTTGATGGCATCTACTATTACTTCCCAGGCAACTGTTCTTACATTCTTGCAAAGGATTGTGATAATTTGGAGCCCCGGTACACTGTATGGGTAGGTGTAATCCATTATTTTGCATATAATCTACAAAAAAGTTATTTATGGTAAAGAGTATGCTTTTAAAGTATGGGGACGCTAAATGAAAATACATAACAATCGGCCCTCCCTGGTGGCGCAAAGGGTTAAAGCACAACACTAAGAAGCTAAAGCCACTTCAGCATGAGTTCAATTCCTCCCTGCCCCGGAGGCGACCACATGGCACGGCAGACCTCTCCTGACCCGCCCGCTGTTCCCCTCAGCAGTGTTCTTTGTTGATCTGCCTGTTCTGCTTCCTGCTCTGTCTCTGGTGAATCCTCTCACCCTCCGTATCTTTGGCCTGTACCCCAGTTCTGTATGAATAAATAAATAAATCTTTAAAAAAAAGAAAATACATAAGAATCATAGCATGAATACTTAGGGTTGTGATGGGGGAAGGAGAAGGATTGGTCCTTAAGTTCTGTTGACATGGCCTAGGGTTAGGAGAAGAGGGTTTGGGTCCATGTGGGAAGGATTTATAGGTGATTTGTGAATGTCTACGTCAAAAACGTCACAATATCAATATCAGTTCATATTCCCATTCTTCAGATATACTTGATCATTTTGAAGAGTGGATAGAGCCAGATCCCAAACATTATTCAAGCATGATTTCTTCTTGGCACTTCCATTATGATGCCCACCCACATTAACTTTTTCCAGAGACAGAGTGGGGAGCAGAACAGGCAGATGTACTTAAGTGTACTGATGAGGGGAGCAGCAGGTGAGACAGGAGAAGTCTGCTGTGCCATGTGGGTCAGCTCCCTGCTGGGGATCGAACTCATGCTTCAGTGGCCAAAGATAGATTTATAGTGCTGTGCTTAATCCCTTGTGCCACCAGGGAGCACCTCTGAATTAATTTTTAAGAGCAACCACCCTCAGTGTGAGTGGGAAACTTGCATTTCTGAAATTGGGGCATAGGTTTTACATAAGGTGTTACAAATTTTCTACCCAGAAGATTTGAAGACAGGCATCTAATGCCTAGGTAGGTTGCTCCTGTATGATTGAGCTCAGAGAGTTAGTTCTTAGTTGTAGAATTCTTGATTCAAAAAAATTCCTAGGCGACATCTTAAAATGTAAGTGACAGAATGACTCTAGTAGAAGAAGCCAGGAACCTTTTCCTCTGCCCACTATCTTCCCCTGAATTTCCAGTTATCTCCAAATACAACCAGGAAACTATTATGATATTCAATGTAGAAAACTAAAACTCTCTATACCTTCTTCTTCTTCTTCTTTTTTTTTTTTTTTTAGTATTTCTGTTTTCTTTTTCTTTTTCTTAATTCCCCAAATTCCTCTCTCTTGATAAGGTAAATATTAAGTAGTAGGCTCTGAAGCTTTTTAAGAGCAACAGATGTTTTTGACCCAGAAAGAAAATGAAGTCTAGTGAAAGTTAACTTATGGGGCCCACGGATAAAAAATTGGAGGTGTCTGAAGATTAGGGAGTTAGCAGAATGCATCTTTAGAAAGCTCTTCCTTCCCCTTCTCAGCCTCAACTGGCCTTCTCTCCTTCACTCTCTCACTGGGTTTGTCACTGATACACCATCTGACCCTCTCATTGAAATGTTCTTGTTCAGTGTCTGACCCTTTTGAGGAATAAGGTGTCAGCTTAATAGATAATATATCTATCACACACAGTGCTGAACTAAGCTTCCAGAGCTAACAGATAGTGTTTCTACTTGGCTTGTGCAGAATTTGCTTTCAAATCCACTTAGTCTTTTTTATTTATACATACAGCACTGGTGTACAGGCCAGAGATGCAGGGGTGGTGAGAGGATTCACCAGAGACAGAGTGGGGAGCAGAACAAGTAGGTCTATGAAACACACTGCTGAGAGCAACAGCGGGCAAGACAGGGGATGTCTGCCAGGCCATGTGGATCACCTTTGGGGTGGTGGGTGGAACTTGCACTGAAACGGCTGTGGCCAGCTTGCAGTGCTGCGGCCTTACCTGTTTTGCCACCAGGGAGGGCCTTAAATCCACTTATTCTAAATTCATCTTTGCTGTGATTATAGAAGAAGTTTACCTCTCCAGCAGAAAATTTGATAATTCAGAAAAATATAAAACACAAGAGTCCCATCATTGTTACTCAAGGGTCATCATTGTTAATGGCTTCACATATTTTCTTCTAGAATTTTCCTCCAGATTTTGTACCCATTTGTAATATTTAAATCATACTATGTAACTTTCTGTCCCATATTTTCACCTAATATTATACTAAGAACTTTCTTCCAGGTCAAATATTTTTGACAAACACATATTTTATTGTTCCAACTAATGAACTACTCAAATTAATTAATTGTGCCCTTATTTGAAATTTAGATAATAAAATATTTTAAGCTACTTAAAAATAAATATTGATAAAATATTTCTTTATATATTTTTATACTTCTAGTTATTTTTCTTCTGTAAATTCAAATTTATTTTAGTAATAAAACATAGACAAAGTTTAAAAGATTATAGCCAGTAATACAAAAAAATAAAATTAGCTTTTCCTTCAGCTGGGATTGGAATTCCCCAAAAGAAAGTTGTTAACTTTTTTTTGTGATATATTTTTACAACAACCCTGACTTTTATCTTATGTGACAAAACATGCTCTTATTTCCTTATTTTTCAAAGTAGGCTTTATTGGTTCATTCTTACTATGAAATAGAGAAATGATTATTGTTAATTACCTTTCCTGCTTCTAACACACACACATACACACTTCTTCCCTTCTTTTAGTAGAATTATATCACCACTATTAGTTGAATCATGTGTTTTCTTTTGACATTATCATCATTTGTAATTATACATCTATGAGAAATATCTTCCCTTTACCCTCAGAAATCTGAGATTTCATAATTATGATAATTTTGTTTCATTATTATCCAATGTACTTGGTGGGACCCTTCAAGCTATGTCTTTCAGTTTTGGGAAAATGTTTTTTTTCTTAATTTCCTCTTTTTTAGAAATTCTATTTAGATATCAGAGCTTCTGAGTGATTAATTTCTTAATTTTCTCACTGACTCTTCCATGCTGATTTTATTTTTTGCTATATATTTTGAGAGATTTCTTTCCAATTGTTAGATATTTATCTTCTAGCCATTCTAGTCAGTTGTGTGTCTCCTACCATTTTATTAATATCCAGGTTTTTTTTATTTTATTAAATACATACTAATTATATTTAGTTACATTTTTTATTAACTGTTTTGTTATGGTGGAATATAAACTTCACAAGATAGGTATATTTTGTTGACTAATTGTATCCCCAGAATCTAGTATCTAGTAAATAATAAGTGACCAGCGGGCCCTCTCTGGTGGCTCAGTGGGTAAGACGCAACACTGCAAGCTAGCCACAGCTGCCTCAGTGCGACTTCAATCCCAGCCCGGGAGGTGACCCACATGATGTGGCAAATCTCTCCTGACCCGCCTGCTGCTTCCCTCAGCAGTGTACTTAATCGATCTACCTGTTTTACTCCCCATTCTATCTCTGGTGAATCTTTTCACTGTCCCTGCACCTCTGGCTTGTACTCCAATTTTGTATGCATAAATAAATAAATCTTAAAAAAAAATAAGTGATCAGCAAACCTTGCTGACAAAATCATACATATATATAAACTTTAATTGTTAAATTTTTTTTATTATATTACATTTTTATTGAGGTAACATGCTTACAGCACTGCCTATGATTCAGAAGTATAGATTCACACCTCTTCAGATGTGTGCTACCTCATTACAGCCACCACCAATGGGAATATTGGTGTAGTAAATATTGAATTCTTGCCATGTTAAAAATAGATCTTAGCGATGGTGATTTTCTTGATCACTTTTATGCTTAAAAAGCTCTTTTCTATCTAGATGGTTATCTATGTTTTCTTTCAGTTATTTTATGGCTTCATCTTTCACATCACTTTTTGGATCCTCTGAAATGAATTTTGGTAGAGCAAGAGACCTATTGTTTTTCTTTCTTCCTTTCTCCCATTTTTCTTTCATCTTTTCTTCCTTATTTTCATTTTTCTTTTACTAATAAACTAATTACACCATAAATTTTTTTTTCAGAAGTAATCTATCTTTTTAAAGTATCTAGACAATTTTGTTTTTAAAGTGATTGTTGAACCAGTAAAATGTGGACATGAAAATTGTACATGTATTTTTTTTTTATCATACTTATTGCTTTCCTATCAGAACTACGTTTTCTGCAATACATACCATTTAGTTTTGGAGTATTAACATACAGCATGTACAGAGTCAAATGATTTTAAAATAAACTGGATTAATTTGTGCTTTATGAAGTTTAATGTTTTATATCTTTTGTCTAGTAACTGAGGCAAATATTTTACCTGAGGCCAGTATTTTTTTTTCTTGAAAATTCTAAATGTAGTTGTTTTGTATGTTCTCATGGGACTAACTGTACTATGGAGGGAGCTATAGACATACGTTATAGTCAAATGAAGGCATAGACGTGTTGTGGGTTCCCAAGTTTCTTTTGTTTTTTCCTCCCTTTAAGGTTCACAATAGCCCCAGGTGCCGTGGTTCAGTGTATTATTGTTATCGGTCAATCAGCTTGTTCTTTTCAGACCAAGAGGAAATTCGAATTTATGGTCATGAAATAAAAAAGGATGGGATCAGGTAAGAAATATTTAATGATGTGATGAAAACAATAGCATAGTTTAATAGAATTTCCAAACTGGAAGTGAATTGTGGAGACGAGGAAAAGATTTCTTTTCCACTTAACCATAGTTATATCACACAGATATCAAAACTTTAGTAGGCCCCGAGGCCAACCAGGTAGCCACAGAACTCAGCAGTTAACTTCTCAAATGCTTGTGGAGGATATAGGAGTTTTGAGTAGGTAGAGATTGGATTACCACATCTTTTGCTTTTTCCATTGCATTATTTTTATTGAGGTAACAATGGTTTGCCGTTATCACGTGTTGTAATTTGGAGGTATAGTTTCATACTTTTATCACATCTCTTTATAAGATAATTTATTGTTGCCATTAAAATCCTCTTTTCTCTTTTTCCTACTTGTCATTCCTTTATTTTTTTGAAGGGTCAACTTAAACTGAAACTAAACCACTAAAGTTCCTCCCAACTCTGTGAATGAGGTTTGGGTGTCACTTAAGACTTTATTAGTCCTTTGACAATGATGCCAAGATCATACATGACTAACTTTAAATAGATCAGAAAAGAACCTGCTTCTGGTTTCTTATCTGCTAAGGAGAATTTTGGGGAAGGAAATGTTTATTAACTTGGCAAATGATTTATAAATTTTGTACTAGGAATGCCGTGGAATAATCTACCTTCCTCTCTAAATAATTACAGAGATACTTAATTTTAAATATTTCATGGCTGAGTCATGACAGGAAAAGTAAATCGTGGGATGGAACAATACCATCCATCATCCAGAATTCACTGGCAAGTGTTTGAACCATGAGGATTCTTTCCAACATAACCAGGTAGACAGACACTAAATTAGGCTTTGTCAGAGTAAACAGCCCTGGGTAGCCCCCTCTGCATTTGAGTTTATTTTCTTGACCAGTTTGGTTATGTACTTTCCATTTTCTTACAAAAGAAAGGTTTAGCCATTTGGGAAGATAACACACTTTCATATAAGTACATATACATGTATATGTGTATATTTATCTTGGAATCAAATTTAAATAGTAATTTGGGATTTTTTAATAGAACTCTTCACTGCTTTATTAGTAGAATACTAAATACTAATTAGTATAACATTAAAATTAATTTCATAGTAAGTTATATGCACAGATGTAATTAAAGATCATATATATTAAAACATTTCACAAAGTTAAATTATGTATCAAGGTGTGAAGTTGATTATGATAAATAATGATGAAACCAAGTTTTTATAGCTAGCAAATTCATTTGACATGCCTCACCTTTCTTCTTATGAATCAAATTAAAATTTTAAAAGTAATGTAAAAATAGCCAAATAAAGATCTATTATTTTAAATGAGCCCTATGTGGGTTTTTGTTTAATCAACAAGCTCAGTTTTCATACTGAGTGGTATATGGAATGTGTTGTTAGGGTAAAGTCAAAGATAGGGAATTTGGAAATAAAATTTCCAAAACATTTCATTGTTGAATGGTGTCAACATGGAATAAATCTGATTCACTTTGCAAGGTGAAAACTGTCCTGAGTGATAAAAAAAAAAAAATAAGCTTTATTTTTGTTCACTATTGATTAAGATATAGAGAAATAATTTTAAAATATTGTAATTTCATTTAGCTGTCTTTTGAGTTAGTAGAAACTTACTCATCTTCGGTATGTGGATTCAATTAATATTTAAAAAATTATATTTATGATATTTATATGTAAATATAACTTAAGTAATTATAAATATCCCATTAAAATTGTGTGCAATAATTACTGAAAATGCTAAATACAGCACTAATTGTAAAACTCCCTTTTTATGTTTTATAATATTCAAAAAACAACATTTTAGGAAAAATGTAATGAACAATAATTTTGTTCAGTAATGAAAAATAATTTTGTACATTTGACACTTACATAGTGTGGTTTTTATCATTCTCCTACAGATGATTTCTTATCTAGGATTTTGGGTAACATAGTTGGCACTGAAAGATATTATTGTTTTACAAAACAGAAATGCCATAGAAGATTTTCAGGAATACTGGCCCTTTTGCTAAATCTAGGTAATAATATTTAGTTTTAATTCATAGAAAATATTTACTTGAGGATTTCTACTTGTATGATAGAAAAATGTTTTTACTATTCAGTTAATTTGCTTATACTATCATAGTACCTGGCCTTTATCCTAACTCAGAACAGGTGCTAGAGAATTTTTTCCCAGAATAAAATCAAATGTGTGAGGCTCTGTGCTTTACTTCACTGGTGGTTCGTTTTCTCACCCGTGAAATGAAGGGTATTGGTTCACAGGAACCAATGAATAATTTCCATCATTAATTTCTGTATTCATTTTAATTTGCATTGTTAATGATTCCTGCCTAGTTTGTGTGAAGTGTTTCTTAGCCTTATGGGAGATTATTTAATTTTAGCTACTAATCCCCATCTTTATCATCATCCCTTTTATGTTGTAGAACTCAGGATATATTTTTTTTTTAAAGATTTATTTATTTATTTTATTTGTACAGAAGTGGGGTACAGGCCAGAGATGCGGAGGGTGAGAGGATTCACCAGAGACAGAGCGGGAAGCAGAACAGGCAGATCAACGAAGTACACTGCTGAGGGGAGCAGCGGGCGGGTCAGGAGAGTTCTGCCTCGCCATGTGGTCACCTCTGGGGCAGGCGGGAATCGAACCCATGCGGAAGTGGCTTTAGTTTCTTAGTGCAGTGCTTTAACCCGCTGCGCCACCAGGGAGGGCCAGAACTCAGGATATTTTAAAAAATTGTGTAACTAATCAAATTTACTGGAAGTGAGATAAGTGTCAATTCAGGAAATAGAAAGTACCCACACAGAACAACTGGACCTCCATATAAATAGCATCTCATTGCTATGAAGAATCCTTTTCAAACATAATTCACATTTTTCAAATGTAGTTTTTGTAAACATCCAAACAATATTCTTCATATTGACTTTTACTATGCCTGTTCTAGAATACTTCATGCTTATAATTTTTAATAAGTATAGTTATGGCAGTGGTTATCTATTTATTTTCCTATGTAGACGTGATTTACTTCCCTGTTCTTACAACTAGTTTCTGTAAATAATTATCTTAGACACCTTTGTGCATATGGTTACAGATATTTTGAATTATTTCTTTTGGGATTATCCTTTTATTAATGTGAGTATATTTGATAGTTTTTGTGCCACATAGTTATGTTCTTAGAAAGGTGCTCACTGATTTGAAGCTTTTTTAGAGAAGTGTATGGTTATATCTGTTAACCTCTGGCCTCAAACTACAGTTAATGGTTTTTCAGGTAGCATGCCTGTCCTAATGAAAATGAATTCCCCCTTATATTTCTGTAATATTTTGCACCTGCCATTTCTCCAATACTGTGGATGAAGAACACTGTTCTTGGAAAGTGTTCTAAGTGACTGAATGAGCAATTGTTTCATTTTCTTCGGTTCTCTTATTTTTCCTATTTTCTTTGCATGTACACACACTTCTGGCAAATGGAACAACTAAATAATAGATCAGTAATTTAACTATTCAGTGTGACCATTATTTAAATATGTCAAATTGTGTCCAGTTTGAAAGTTGTGAATTTAACCCCTATCAATGCTCTCTGACAAAGTACTTTATACTTCTAGTAATATTCTTTGTGGCAGTGAACATGTAAGTTAAAATTAATCCTGTTTAGACATTTTCATTTGGAAATGGCAACTTAAGCCAAAGAGAGATTTTGTATGCAGGATTTGTTTCCTTACCACCTCACTTAAAATTAAACAAAATCAGAACGCAAGCAAAGTTTCTACGTAGTTTGACCGTTGTTTGTTCTCACTTCCAAATGTTGAGTAGCAGTTTCATATTATCTTCAATTCACTAGATAAAAAGTGAACAAATTAGTCTAGAGAGACAAGATTATTTTCCAGATTTAGAAAAATCTCTGATGATGTGTACTTTGGTTAGTTGAAAGAAGCATCCAATTAAAATCTAAATTAGAAGGGAAATAGGTATCATTTTTGATGTCCTTTTATTTCCATGTTGAAATCCTCAAAGGGTCGAGATTTCCTATAGGAATATCATTTATTCTTGATTTTGAGAAATTTGTTTAATATAGTTATCACAGTCACTTTGTCACTTTAAGAAAAATAGAGCATCAGTAATTGATCCTTCATCATTCTTAGGTAGTCTTTGTTCTGTTTTTTTTTTTTTTAAGTGTAACATTGCCTCAGACAATTGGACAGGTTTTTATTGAGAAACTAGCTGACTACATTCTGGTGAAAACAACCTTTGGCTTTTCATTGGCATGGGATGGGATATCTGGAATTTATCTCAAGCTGTCTGCGGAACATAAAGGAAAATCTTGTGGACTATGTGGAAACTATAATGCCATTCAGTCTGATGATTTCATCATTCAACAAGGTAAGAAATGTGTTGGTTCCTCTAAAGTCTTCTTTCTCTGATCAAGCTGTTTGTACCTGGAGTGGCACAACCTTCCCTAGGCTGAGTAGTGCTAACTGCTATCCTTTGCCTGTTTTTTGATTTTAAGTGACACTATAATAGGAAAATATTTCAAAAACTATGATGTTCTTTACATTTGCTAAATTAAGCTACTGAACTTACTCATGTGGCAAATATTGAGCCTTAACTTTGTGTCAGGCACTGTTGTAGATTTAAGTGAGAAAGGTAAGTGAAAGTATTCAGAAGTCTGTGAGCTTAATGCAGATGTACCATGTTGGGAGCATCATAAAATGGTGTTTTGTGTCCACTTGGGTATTTACAATGTTGTTGTTCAAAACTCTGAATTTTGAGACTGTATCAGTGAGTAGGGTTCTTGGAATCCGAGACAATCAGATAATAGTGGTTGATATCTTTTTCTTTTATATCACAGTTTTACAAAATAGATAATATTTGAGTCAGTTCTCAGAATTAGAATAAGAAAAGACTGCTGTCAGCAACTTTCTGGGACATCAGGGAATACAGTATGGAGGTCAGAATAGAAAGTTGTCTTTGTTCTTCAAGGTAGGAAGATTCAGATTAGGGATCTGAGTTATACTCAGACAGACTTTGATAATCTTGACCATAAAATGGTTGCTCACAGTGAGATGACTAAGACAACAAGCTGAAGGGTGTTAGTGGATTTGAAGTGGGAGGGGAGTGGCTGAGGCAATTGGCTGATTTATAGCTGAACTGGCAGAAAGCAAGGACTCTAGACAGGATGTGGGAGACACCTAAAAAGAGATTTTAGCTTTTTTAGCTTTATTTGGTGTGAAGTATAGATCAGAGTGATAAATTTTTTTTTAAAAATCTAATTTACAGCAATTTATAGAGGTGTGAAAACCTACCTTTTGATGTTCTCCCATGCTGTTATTATATAAGAAAATGTTGAAAGATGAACTGTGTAACATTTAATTTTAAAATGCCTCGTCTTTTCTTGAAACTTGGCCTATGCTTTGCTATTAGATGAATCTTTTGAGGTGATAAAGTATAAGAGTTGGAAAGAATTTCACTGAATGCATGGTTTCTTAACATTGATTACAATTGCATATTCTGTGCATTTCTGGTCATTCTTCCGGGATGACTTCGCAAAGAAATGTGGCTTTTCAGAATTTCCGTGGATATAGAAAGATCTTAATTTGTGGTCTAGTTGAGACTCTCGTTCCATTATTCATGTCTACGTAGTTATACAGTCACACAGAAATCCTGGTTTACTCTTGTTTTTTTCCAGCATAATTAATAGTGTCTCCTTTTCCCACTCATAGTATCCTAACACAGACAGCAAATCACTCTATTTCTAGCACATTTTACAGGAAACATTTTGGTTTAGCAGGCTCCCAGAACTTATTGATAAGGACTTAAAGCCTCATAATAACCAGCTTTGTGACTTGTTGATTCTGGCAGTGTAGTAAAAATAACTGAATATGTTGTTAAATGTTGGGATTAAAATGAATTCTAAGAGATTGTAAAAACTGTACATAAATAGTGAAACAAGTAGGCCTTTAAAATATTTTTGTTTTTATAGACTTACAAAATGATGTTTTAAAATGAAACATATCTATAAATTTACTTAAAAAGAATGTTAGCTTTTCCATTTTTAAATGAATAAGCTAGAATAGACCCATGCTTGTTTCAATGTGCAACATTTCCAACGATATTAATGATCATGAAAGCTCTCTAGGATTCTAATAATTTAATAAATAGTGCAAAAGCCCTTGTATTTTTTCATTTACTTAAATAGTGAATGTATTTTGAGTATCTACAATATGGCAAGAAATTAAACTAAAGACAGAGCAGCAGGACAGCTTTGATATGATCTCTCCCATCGTATGTCAGTAGAATATGTTGTAATAGAAGACAAAATCAGTAAAGAAACAAATTATAATGTGAAAGCTCTACATATGAAAATAAAATGGGGAAAAGAAATTTAGACTGAGAATAGTGTGTGTTTGGTGGCGGGTCTGGTCATGGAACAGAGGAGGTCTTTCTGAAGAGGTCAGATTAAACAGATGCCTTAATAAGTGAGGTGCTGAGGAAAGATTGGAGTCAAGAGTGACTTTGAAGCATGAGCAAGTGCTCTGAGCTTGGAATCAGCTTGACTGAAGAGCCGTGTAAATCCAGTATGAGTGTGATAGGTAGAGTAAGAATCGGAGCAGGAGGTGTCTGAGAGTGGGGCAAGGTCAGTGGAGGAGGTTGGCAATTGGGGGAGTCTGTGCCTGGGTTCAAGCCTTCTGCTAGACCAACTCCCTCAACTGCTGTGCCTGCTCATTGCTTGTAGCATTCCTTCTCTTCCAACTTGATATGAGAGAGTGGTGGAGCATTTGATTGTAGTGGTTCAGGAGCCATCATCAAGAGTACGGTGTTGTCATGTAAATTCAGATGGTGGCTAACAATCTGAGACTGAACACTGAGATGCCATCTTGTTTTGGCTCTGTTAAATCTATGCAATTTGAGATTCAGCCTCTGTATGAATGTGCGGCAGGATTAATTTTCATATCAGGCCTTGTACTTGTTCTCAGGCCAGGTGCTGAGACAATTAAATTTAATTTGGAGCCAAGTGTCTGGATCCTCACCACTCACTGTCTCTTTGTTGTTCTGTTCATATTAGCTCTTGAATCTTGCCTCAGAGAAATGCTGGGAGACTGTTAGGACTTAACCATCTGTTCTGAGCATGTTTAGAGACGCTATTGCTCATTTTCAGATGAAGTGAATTCACTTTTTAGTTTTCTTTTTCTTTGGGTGTCTTTTCCATTCTTTCCAATCCTAGGTAGTTTCTCCCTGAGGGCTTAACAAAAAATTTTAAATTGTGTACCCCCTAATTGAAACAGCAGTTTTAGAAAATTTGGACTTAGGTCAAATATAATAAGTGAGCTCTCTGAAAAATGTCATACCAAATTTTGTGTTACTTATTCTTTCATGTTTCTTCTCCTGCTGCAAGAATTGATTGCTGACTAATTAGTGCTTTTCTGGTTCCTGTGCTGTACCACTCACTGTCAGACCTTCCCTGTGTTGTTTCAATGAAGTCTCTGTTTATTTCCAATGATATTAGCAATTATTGGATTAATTTGCTTAACATTTTTATTATGTCAAAGTAATGTGATAGTCTAATATCATTGGTAATCATAAAACTATTGAATTTAACTTGACTAGGAAGTTAACTTGTGTGGACAAATTGTGTGTTTATGGATGGTGATATTGTTACACTTGTTTTTGTGTATGTTTTTGGGTGAAATAGAGGACCTCACAGAAGACATTGCAATGTTTGCAAATAGTTGGTTGGTGCAAACTCCAGATGACATCAAATGTGTACCAACACCCTCAGATTTTCCAAATCCATGTTCCAGTGGAATGCCAGCATTTGAGGTAAATTCAATGTGAAGAGTTTGAGCATGTTAATGAACATATATTATCTAAACAGTTTACATTAAGACTTTTAAAAGCAAATAATATATAATTGAAAACTATTAAATTCAGGAAATATAATTGCAAACTAATAAATTTAAAACTTTTGGAAGTAATGAATGTAATACATTTCATACAAGTAATACTCAGTATGAAAATACAAAGTTAGACAAAGGTTGGTTACATTTTGTAAGATTGAATTAACTTATCTTTCTGGTAAGAACAGAGTCTTGCAAATACATCAGGAGAAAAGAGAGACTATATTTGTATTGCTGAGTGTTTTCTTGTGACAGTTATCTTTTTGTTGACAGGCAATCTTCTTCAAGTGTCAGATACTGTTGCAGTTTCCTTTTTTGAGTTGCCATGAATATATAGATCCGTACTTATATATTGCCAGCTGTGTTAATGATCTTTGCAAGTAAGTGAGGTGATTGCAAAATTTTCTTTGTCTAAAATCACAACTGTAACTTAGTCATTTCAGTGATTCACAAATATAATGGGAAATGCAAAAACCAAACTGTATATACTTTAAAAGATTTATTTATTTATGCATACAGAATTGAGGTACAGGCCAGAGGTCAGGGACAGTGAGAGGATCCACCTGAGAAAGGGTGGGGAGCAGAACTGGCTGACTGACAAAGTACAATGCTGAGGGGAGCAGTGGGCAGGCCAGGAGAGGTCTGCCTCACCATGTGGATCACCTCCAATGTGGGGATCGAACTCATAATGAAGTGGCTTTAGCTTCTTAGTGCTGTATATAACCCGCTGTGCCACCAGGGAAGGCCCCCAAACTGTATTTTAGCAGCTATTCTGAACTTCCTGGTTATCGGGTAGTGTCTAACTGATATATGGGAATTTTGTTGTAAAACACCAGACTCATTTTCAGTAGAGTAAATCCATTTATTTATTTAAAAGATTTATTTATGTATGTATACAAGAACTGGGGTATAGGTCAGAGGTGTGAGGGGTGAGAGGATTCAGCAGAGACAGAGTGGGAAGCAGAACAGGTAGAAGTACTGAAATGCATTCCTGAGGGGAGCAGCAGGCAGGTCAGGAGAGGTCTGCTGCAGCATGTGGGTCAGCTCTTTGGCAGACATGGATCTAACTCTTTCTGTAGTGACTGGCGATATCTTGATAGTGCTACCTTTAACCCCTGCACCACCAGGGAGGCCCCTGAGTAAAACCATTTAAATAGCATATAGGATATAATATTAAGATGTTAAAGTTTATCAAAGGTGAAAACAAAGAGGAAAGGTCAAGGTAATATGAACTTGTGTTATTATAAACTATCCTACTTTAATTGAATGGTATTATTACAAAATAATGAGTATAATGAATATGTTTTCTGTACAATAAAATAAGGTTAGTTAGGATAATTGTTAATTTTGAGTAGAGTGCAGTCCATCAAAATTTTGGGAATTTCTTAATTAATGCAGGATCTTGGCAAGAACTTCCTCTCTACCTGAAACATTGTGTACTATAACCTACCCTATATTATACAACATCTGTTTCTTGTTTGACTTTATTTCTTATTTTAGCATTGCATTCTTATATCTCTGTTCTATATCATTCAGTCTCTTGATCACTTATTTAGCTATGTATATGGTATTAAAAGTTGTTCTTCCACAATGACTCATGCTTTTACCATTCTCTAGTAGTTTTTTCACTTGATTTATCATTATTATCTTCAGCATCCACTTCTTAAGTCATTGAGATGAAGTACCAGTTGGCATATCCAGAATCATTCTCCATTTATTTATTAGGCTATTGCTTGATAGCTTCAATTGCCAAAATATCAGTGGCTTAAATTAAATTGAATGTTTGTAGTTCTTTTGTATAAAATCCAAGCTGGTAAGTGGTCCTGGATGCATACCATGTGTCTACTCCATTCGTTTTCTAATGACTCAGATATATGATCAGTATGTCATAACCAAGAACCTACAGTATGACACTCAACTTCATGGTCAAAACTGGTTCTACACCATGATGTCCAGAGAGACAAAAGGAAGTACAAGGTTCACAGCATTTTGAAGGATGTCACCTGGACATACCACATACACTTTGGATAACATGTAGACACGTGACCCACAAGATTTAAGACTGGGAAGTTTTGGCTCTGACTTGGTAGCCATGTACCCAGTAGAAATGAGGGGCTTTTACATTGAAAAGAAGAGGATACTGGACATCACAAAAGTTTCTGCCACATCCACTTCATCTGACATTTCATCACTGAGAAATTAACATTTTTATCTTTTAAAATTTTCATATCCTGGGCCCTCCCTAGTGGTACAACCCATTAAAGAGCTGCACTATGAAGCTATCTGCAGCCACTTCAGCAGGAGTTTGATCCCCAACCAGGGAGGTGACCCACATGGCACAGGAGACCTCTCCTGTCCTACCTGCTGCTCCCCTTAGCAGTATATTTCAGTACATCTGCTTGTTCTGCTTCCCACTCTGTCTCTGGGGAATCCTCTCACCACCCCACCCACCTCTGGCCTGTAGCTCAGTTCTGTATGCATAAATAAATAAATCTTAAAAAATATTTAACATGCAAAAATGGGCTCACTTCTTCCTCAGTAACAATTCTTTCATGCCTGTTTGCTGAGACTTTGAGCAATTCCATTTTTGAGGCGGCTGACAGGTTCCTGAGTAACATAGATACTTGAATAGTGGTAACTGTCTTAATAATTTCATTGGGTTGAAAAGCCAAGATTCAGTTGCTGTCTTGACTTTCAAAATCACTACTAATTGTAGGAAACAGCTTACATTTTTAAGGTAAATCCTAAACATAAAGACTTTCCAGGAATTCAACAATTTTAGCATACCTGTCCTTCAGAGGCTTTCTTGCTTGGAGATTGGGACTAATTTTTGAGCTCTGAAGTTAATGTGCCCAATCCTTTGAAAGCTCATTTAATTGGACTAGATAAGCTGCATGACTCCAATTACAGTAGCAGAAGATAAGAGTAATTTGAGCTAAGTGACTTTAACAATAGATACCAAAAATGCTAAAGTTCACAAAATGCAACATTCTTAAAGTCATTATCTTGTAAGATATTTAACTATTCAATTTTGAGTTTTAGTCAGGTTGAAAAACAAGTCCACTACCTTATTAGAAACCCTGCTTATTTTATAATCTGCTTTGGGTATTGGCAGACCTTTTATATTTGTTTGGGGGAACTTCTAAGGTGATTATAAGAAAATGATTAGAGATTTTTTGCACTTGGAAAGATTATAAAGGTAGCTTGCTTTAGTAATTTAAACTTGAAAGAACTTTAAACTTGAAAGAATTTAAAACCTTTTAAGTCTTCAATGCTATTTTTGCAGTCTCTCAAAAGTGCTTCAAATTATTAGTATAGATTTTATTTCAACATTAGCCTATCAAGAGCAGAGTATCTTGGTAGTAAATTTCATGTTTGATACTTTCGTTGTGATAGCTTTTTGTTTCATACTTTTGTTGTGATAGCTTTGGTTGAATTCTAAAAGATCTGGGATGCTTTGTGTGAGAACAAAAAAATAATATGTTTGAGGATCCTGAAAATAATACCATAATAAAATAGTAATCTTTGTCCATATAGACAGTCTCACTTTAAAAGAAAAGTGGCCAATTTCAATGAATACAATATATCCAAGTCTTTTTAGCTGAGATACCATGTTTATATGCTTCTACGTTATTGTCTATATTATGTACTCGCTGACTTACTTAGTATTCAGATACTCCCCACATCTGCTTTTTCAGTAATCAAGAGATCAAAGGTGTGGCATCTGTTAATATTTCCCATGTGATTCTGGCTCTTTTCTATATATTAGTAGTATATGGGTGTGTAGACACATACACATTAACACCTACATACACACATATATTGAATATTTCCTACGTAATTCTTTTCCTTTTCCAGAACTGACGATGATGACACCTATTGTCGAGCAGCCACTGAGTATGCTAGAGCCTGTTCCCATGCTGGGTACCCCATTCAAGACTGGAGAGATGACTTTCCAGCATGCAGTATGCTTTGCTTCCTTATTTTCCAAACCCTTTATAGTTGTTAATTTTAGATTTATCTAGTCCTTACCCTAGTACTAAAAACTAACGATGTTTTATTAATGTAGTAACTTTGATAAACTTTCAGTTTTCTGAACCATGTGATTTTTTTTTTTTTGAAAGAAAGGTGAGTACATTTACTTACAGAGCCTCTGTTTGTGCATTTTAGCGGATAAATGTGATGATAGCTTTGTCCATCGGGATTGTATAAGTTGTTGCCCACCAACTTGCACTTTTGAGAAACAATGTCTTGGGAGCAATCTACATTGTCTTGATGGATGTTACTGCCCAGACGGTAAGTGCTTCATGAAAGAAAACATACCTGCATTCATGGAAACTAGTAGCCCATGATCTGAGACTTACCTCTTAATGTGTTCTCCCAAGACATTGGGCTGGTTGTGACTTTCTACCCGTGTAGGATTTGGTTCTAGAAGTAACTAGCAAGATTGACTGCTTTTCTCTGATGAAAAGTTTATTAGTTTGTAAATATAGAATAAATTGAGAATCTAGATTCCTGTAGTTACTCCAGTATTTTTTTTGTTCTCTTGACTACTTAAAAGTATTAAAATCTTTATGTATTTTCATTTTTTTAAAAAAAGGTGAAAGCTACTTAAAAGAAAAAAAAAAGACCTTCATACTTTGATAGTATAAAACTTTAGTCTGATGTAATTTTAGTATTTAAATTAGGAGTAACATAGCGGTAGGATTTAAATTTGGGAATGTCTGCCAACTACTGCTAGATGTTTATGAAGAACACTGAGAATTTACTCAAAGCTTTTTAGATTTACAGATGAAAATATAGAATCCCTGAGATATTGATATACTCACTGTTTTACACTTAGTATGTGTGAGAATTTGGATCAGATCTATAGACCTCAATAGATCTCAGTGCAATGTTCTACCAGTGTTAGTCAAATTACTATTTGTGGACCAGTGCCAGATTAGAACTATTTGTTATTCATTAAAGATGAGATTAACGGTTTACACTGGTTTATAAACCCATGACCAAAATATAAGTCGATGTTTCCTTCATCTAGAAAGGCTTTCTCTGTAAAAAGATCAGCTGAATGAAACCATGGGTTTAGTAACACAATTGATTTACATTTTGGTTCAACCACCTTTATTCATTAGAAAAATTAATACAGTTCTGCTTTTCTAGCTCATTAAGTATTACTCACTAGCCTTTTATTAGCTGTTTAACCATAGTGTAAAGCTCTCATTTTGGAGACATTAAACACAAAATATATTTTCCCCTTTTTTCCTCCCTTCTTCCTTCAGAAGCAAAGAGACACCAACTCATTGCCTTGTTCTTTATAGTGAAACTTGAGTTTTTGCTAATAAAGTTTTGGGTAAAAAAATTTGAAAATTGTGAAACAGACCCTTATATGGTATCTACTGTTTGAGACAGAGCCAGGTTGTTGGCAAGCCACCTGAAAGTAAATGAAATTTGTATTTCCCATACCTAGAGTAAACAGTTGTTTAATAAAAGCTGGCTGTGTGGTTATATTAAATATCAATCTTTATTATTTCTTTTGAAATTTTGATATAGTAATTTTTTTCCTTAAATAGGCCTCATAATGGAAAATGGGACTTGCATCTCCTTGGAAAATTGCCCATGCAATTTTCATGGATTAGCTTATGCAGTTGGTTCAAAAATTGAGCAAGAATGTACTGAATGGTAGGTGATCAGCATGAATTGTTATTTTTGCTGACTGGATTGTTGAAAACTTACCATGACACATGTGACACATGTCTGGGGGAATACATTTATTACTAATTTTCTACAATTGCATTTTATTTAAAATGTGTATAGATATCTGAATGGTGGTGTCATTTATATTTTCTTATGAGATAATTCGCCTCTCTTCCATTGATATGTCCATAAAATGTGAACCATGGTGACAAGTCTTTTCTTATTGATCCTCATTTGCCCCAAATTTTACTGTTAAAATTTGGTAGTGCTACTGAAATTCTCAAAGGAAGATTTTAAATTATGACACTCCATATTGCCAACTTTGACTATGATTAATGATGAATCTTTTAATAAATTAATTAATGTAGAATCTTTTAATAAATTAGCTAAGACTATTAGAAAAAATGTGACGTCCCCCAAGAACAGTACCAAAAAAAAAAAAAAACAACAAAAAAACCAGAAGTTTAGTCTAAATATTTCAGGCTCTCTTCCCTTTGGTGACAGTGTATGTAAATAACATGCAAATGGTGACCATTTTGAATGCCTGCTTTCCAGCTGCTAATTCTGTCCCCCAAAACTCATACCCTGCAGATGGTAGACAGTAGAATTTAATCTTACATAAATGGACGTCCTTTAATTAATATCTGATGATTCTCAAAATCAAGTTTTAAAATATGAAGTGGATAATTTATTAATCTTATGTATTATTTCTCTGTTGATATGGCTAAAAACTTTTATATGTGACTTTTTTTATTTTAATCAATGAAAGGAGAACATAAAATAGAAGTTCTTTACTTGGTTTCTATTTTTATTCCTAACTATTCTGTACTCTATTTTTTGTATCGCCTTTATTGACTTTTTTTTTTTTAAGATTTATTTATTTATGTATACAGACTGGGGTACAGGCCAGAGGTGCAGAGGTGGTGAGAGGATTCACCAGAGACAGAGTGGGGAGCAGAACAGGCTAACTGATGAAGTACACTGCTGAAGGGAGCAATGGGCTGGTCAGGGGAGGTCTGCCGCGCCATGTGGATCACCTCCTGTGCGGGGATCGATCTCATGCTGAAGTGGTTTTAGCTTCATAGTGCTGTGCTTTAACTCACTGTGCCGCTACCAGGGAGAGTCACCTTTAGTGACCTTTAAGTGTGATATTTAGTGAATAATTTAGGTGCTGGCCAGACAAAATTTATCATATAATCAAATATGAAGATTTTTTTCAGTGGACATCCTTTATGATGTACCAGTGTACCTATATGAATATGATGTATTTTGATGCAATCATTAATTGAGCTTCCCTATACTAGTAAATTAATATTTTTATGATTTCATTTAGTGTGTGTGTTGGTGGTGCTTGGAACTGTACTGAGCATGACTGTCCAGGTAATGTTCTGAAATGTTTTTTTTAAAGATTTATTTATTTACTCAGAGAATCAATGATTACTTTGAGCAGGCAACTTTTGTAGAAAAACAAAATTAAAGAGTATAAATATTATAAAACAAAAATATGTGGAAGAGCTATCATTAAATAGTTTTTTTATTAAATTGACATGTGATTTAGTACGTCTGTCAGACCAATACATTTTAAAAATTTTAGTTCATCTGTTCAGTGCATGATAATTTACCTTTAAAATTATTTATGCATACAAGAACTGGGATATAAACCAGAGGTGTGGGGCAGTGAGAGGATTCACCAGAGACAGAGCGGGGAGCAGAACAGATGAAGTACACTGCTGAGGGGAGCAGCAGGCAGGTCAGGAGAGGTCTGCCACTGGGTCAACTTCCTGGCAGAACTTATGCTGCATTCGCTGCCGTGTGAGTCAGCTCCCTGGCAGGGGATTGAACTCATGCTGAAGTGGTTGCAGATAGCTTTATAGTGTTGCACTTTAAACCCTTCTGCCACCAGGGAAGGCCCTATATTTTACCCTTTGATGTCCTACTTTTTAAGAATTGATGTTATTTCTCTCTCCTCATTCTCTGTTTCTTCTTTTATTGGCAGTTCAATGCTCTGTTGTTGGTGATTCTCATTTTACCACTTTTGATGGTCGACATTATTCTTTCATTGGAATGTGCCAGTACATTCTTGTGAAAGGAACTGGAAAAGATAAATTCACAATTACTTTACAGAAAGCTCCCTGTGAGCAGGTAAGGACAACATTTCAAAATGACCAAACGAATGTGCCCCTTTCGGAAAAAAACAAAACAAAACAAAACAAAACAAAACAAACAAACTTTAATTGAAATTTTGAGTTTTGTGCAGAACCTTGGCTTGGTCTGTCTTCAGTCCATAACTCTAATTTTGGAAGATGATTTTAACAAACAAGTGACCCTGAGCAGGGGAGGACAGATCCTCACCAGCCCTAACCATGGCTTCAATCTGCATGGTAAGAAGCAATGCCTATAGTGTCCTTTCTTCACACTCAGTCATGAAAAGCCAAACAACTTAATGACATGCTCTCCTATTGGCTCACTAATCTGACATATTTTAGGTTTTTTATAAAATGTTTTCTTCTCTTTCCAATTATGTTTATGGAGGTCAGGTTGATTTACCTCATGTCTGATTTGGGGATTGTATGTTTAAACCTCTACAAATGTATGTTTTCACACCATGGCCACCACTAGTACCTCAGGAACTGATTTCATGTTCTAGAAGTTGCTCTCCTCCCTGCCCTTTTCCTCCCTGCTACTCTCCCCTTTTGGTTGTCTCAGTTTTGCATTCCTGTCAAAATTTAACATTTTTTTGAAAGCATGTGTATTGCCAGTACCTCAGAAAGGTATAGTGGAGACCCTTTTTATGGGACCTAGAGTTTACCTCAGGTAGCCCAGAATTTGGAAAGGAAAGATATAAGCTAACTCCCATTTACAATACAAATATGATAAACTCAAATATTGCACAGGGGATTTGGGATCAAAATTAGTAAAGCTTACTCAGCTGCAGATACAGGCAGGAACATTTTCTGAAGGACGCAGTGGTTTATTAAGTATTTCAAGCTGAGGAAGTGCCAGATGAAGCAGATGGGGGAAAGTGCCCCATGCAAAGCCACAGAGGTCTATAACAATGTTGAATGTCTAATCTAATATTGCTACTGATGAAAAAGGTAAGTAGACAATATCCAGAGATGAGAACAGGAAAGTAAGTGGGGTAATAATGGGGAAGGTCTCATATATAAAGGCCTCACACATTGTGTTTTTCCTGGGACAGGCCTTGTTTGTGCCTATGTGTCAAAACAGTTTTTGTTTTTTTAAAAAATTTATTTATTTATGCATACAGAACTGGGGTACAGGACAGAGATTCAAGGGTGGTGAGAAGATTCACCAGAGACAGAGTGGGGAGCAGAACAGGCAGATCATCGAAGTATACTGCTGAGGGGAACAGTGGGCAGGTCAGGGGAGGTCTGCCACGCCATGTGAATCACCTTCAGGGTGGGGATGAAACTCATGCTGAAGTGGCTTTAGCCTCTTAATGCTGTGCTTTAACCCGCTGTGCTCCGAGGGAGGACCCCCCCAAACCGTTTTTAGTAAAACTCTTCCACTTTCACGACAGTTTTGATTTCTGTTACAAATTACATGGTCATGCTACTCAGTATCATACTAAGGAGACTAAACTTGACGTGAGATTAAATATGGATTATAATTATTTGACCACTTTTCTACAAAGATGACAGTCCATGTAGTTAAACCAAATAAAAATGAACTTTAATTAGAATATTGCTGTAAGTCTCTCTTTCATTTTCTTTTTGGTAGACTGCTTTTGACAACAGTGTGGAATTGGTTTGGAGGGCTGTTAGACAAGGAAAGTGAAGGGCAGGGTGTTATTAAAATATAATAAGGTATGTAAGGAGTGAGAAAGACTTGATCTAAGGCAGTGACAGTAGAATGAAAAGAAGATAGCATACTGAAAAATGATTTAGGAAAAAAGTGGCCTATACTTGGCAATGGATTGGATTGGTGTGGGTTGGGGAAGGGTAGTGAGGGAGTTAACATGATCAGAGAATGACTCTTGTACTTCTGGGCTTGATAACCAAGTTGAGGACAGAAATTGTGATAGGGATATAGGAGCAATGAAGAGTTACTGCATTGGTGGCAAAAGTCTTACATTTTTGTGTTCAGTGTTGGAAAGAGATTATAATCTCTAGGTGGGTCTCATAAGATTTTGCTTCTTGAGTGTTGTGTTCTTTGTTTTTTGGTAACAATTTTAAAGAAATAGGGAATTTTTGAGGAAAACACAACTTTTGACTTGAGTCATGACTGATTTTGGGAAAAATTTATACAGATACACACAGACATGTTAAGAAAAGATCAGCTTTCAAATGTCATGGAATATAACACAGCTGTCAAAAAGATGAAATTGGTTTTTTTGGAACAAAATGGAAGGACCTCAAGGTGATTATATTAAGTGAAATAATCTGAAAGTGAAAAATGGGTAGTGTCACTCATCTGTTTAGTATAAATAACTAAAACACATGAGCAAAATATAATAGGGATAAATCTTGGATTTAGTGAAATAACTTTCTGGTTACCAGAGAGAACTTGTGGGAAGGAGATAGAGAAGGGAGAGGAAAGCAGATGAGGGGTTGGCAGAAGGTACATAGTGGAACATGTATGAAGGAAATGAAAATGTAGTGCCAGAATTGGAAAAAAAAAAAGAGCAAAAAACAAAACAACCCAGCCTGCCTGAAAAAAAAAAAAAAAAGCAGATTTCAAATATCTAAGAATTGCTCCTTGTCGACTTTGTCAGGAGATGCTTACCAACTGAAATTACATAGTAACCTGACACCGCATTAAACATGCCTAGTGAAGATCCAGAAAGGAGGGACGGAAGGGAAATGGGAGAAAACAGACAAGAAGTTGGCAGAAATAAGCCTGAACACAGGGGCAGAAACTGAGCTCGTTTCCCCATGTCCAGTCTTTCAGAAGAGTCTGCATGTCATGCTAACACTTCACAGCTCTGCCTGCATCTGAAACTGACTGTGTATTTTGCTTCTTGCAGGACTTGTTGAAATACAAACTCTGTCATCCTTATTTATTCTTCTAAAAACCACATTTGGCTTAAAGATTCTGTTTGCTATAGATGGGGAAAGAATTTATATTCAGCTGACTAGTGCATGGAAAAGAAGAACATTAGGTCTGTGTGGCACTTTTAATGGGAACATAAGAGATGATTTTCTGTAAGTATGATTTCTGCATAGCGAACATGATTTAATGATCAACAATTTAGAGAGAGAATATAAATTTCATTTATCTTCATTATATTTTCTTTCATTAAAAATATTACTTTAGTAATAGCATAGTCATCACTGTTCCAAGAGCTTTACATGGATCATGTTTAAATCTTATAGCAGTCCCTTGACTAGTAGCTCTGCTTTATAGATAAAGAAATGATTGAGGCCTCCAAGTGGTAATAAATGGATTTATAGTCACTTATTTCACATGCAGTGTAGTTGGGCTTTTAATTTGGGTGTTGTGACTCGGAGCCTGTGGGTTCACTGCTCTCCACTCATTTCTGCTCTGCACTAATCACTTCACGTATTTTATTTTTGAAAACTCACTGCCCATAGAAATATCTTAATTTTTTCCATGACAATAAATTACTTTAAAGCTATCAATAGCATTTGATATGAATAATTCCAGATTGGAAAAAACAACATCCTCGTACCTAAGTTAATTGGATTTTGTGATAGTTGGGATGTTGTTGAAAGAAAAGAATACAGACATATGTACCCCTTGTATGGAAAAGCACTTTGCTGACATGCACAAAGACAGTGCATAATTTAATGTTAATGCTTTGAGCACTTGTTATTATTCCAAGTTCTGTGGGGCAACTGAAGCAGACTGATTTGGTTCCAGTCCTCAAGTAACTTGTTTTACAGATGGGAAGGAATAACAATCATTAAGAAACAATTAGTGCAAGCCAGTGACCACCACTGTATGTAAAATACTGAGGTAATTTCAAATTAAGTGTTGAGCTGTGTGATTATGGCCAAGAGACTTTGGACTACGTAACCATGGAAACTTTCATGGAGAAGTCATTCTCTAATTTTTTTTTTTTAAACACTTCTTAATCTCTTCTTCCTGCTTGGAGATCTTCCTCCCTCCTAATTTTTCTCATGAGTTCCTACTTACTATTCAAAGTAAGTCAGACATTACTTGTTTCAAAAAACGAGTTCATGTCACACTGAATAAAGTTAATTCTAACTTGATGTTTATGAAAATCCATTGTTTATCTCTCTGGCTTCCACTTAAAACTTCAAGAACTTTAGACTCAGGGTCATGTTATCCATTCTTGCAGTCTTAGGAACTAGCAAGGAACATTACATGCAACAGCAATCATATTGAATAAGACAGAATTTTTCTAGCTTGTGTCCCAGGGGAGTCAATATTTAACTTTTTTTTTGCTTTACTTATTTGTAGTTCAGAATATCAGTATCTTTATCACATTTGTGCAACAGAACTGTATTAAGGGGGTTGGCTAAGAAGTTTAGAAGAGGCGTTAAGCCTCCTTTCTTTCCTTGTTTTTCACAATAGGTTAACAGTCAATGTTTAACAGATGGCAGATCTGTCTGCCTCTTTCTAAGGCACCAGTCTCCTCCATGGATAAACACTCAGGCGTGATAACAGTGTAAGATAATATTTCAGAGTCAGAGATAACTTTCTAAACATTGTTTAGCTTTCCAGCATAAGCAATTAAAATTCTTTACTTCACAAAGGTTAATACGACTCTCAAACATAGTGGAGTAGAAATTATTAATTACTTGAAATTTTATTTTTTATGCTTTGTTATAGTAAATTTACTCTGGTGAACAGGAAGGTTACTTTGTAAAATAGAAAAGCAACAATTAATTGGGTCTACATTTTAGCTCTTATTTTTTTTCTATGTAAATGAAATAAGAGCTACCCTCTGAGTGAGTTCCTTTTGGGAACTTGGATTTCACCCATCACCTTGACCTACTTTCTTGTCCTTTGGAAGCATGAAGAGGGAAGGAAAAACAGAATGAGAACAGCTAATCGAAATGGTGCAATTCCTTCGTGCCTCAGTTCTCATTTGAACACAATGAGATTTTATATTAGGCATTTGTAATAATTCTTTATCGTTATAGAGGAATAAAAATGGAAGAAGGGAAAGGTGGGCACAAATGATGGACATTGTGGAAAGGCTTGTGCCACCTCCTTAGTTCCTTCTTTCTCGGTCATTGTGGTGAGAAACTCCATAGTGGATTGTAACTGAGGTATTTAACCTAAAGAAATGAAGTTATTAGGATGGCACAGAGCTGAGATAACATCCAGTTTGCTGCTTGGCCATGTTGTAGTAATTAACAGTTTATGCTTCAGTTAGCTGTTTACTTGGTTAAAAGCTTCTTCTTCTTTTTTTAAAGATTATTTATTCGTACAGAACTGGGGTACAGGCCAGAGATGTGGAGGGTGAGAGGATTCACCAGAGACAGAGCGGGGTACAGAACAGGCAGATTGAGAAAGTACACTGCTGAGGGGAGCAGCGGGCCATCAGGAGAGGTCTGCCACACCACGTGGTCACTTCCGGGGCAGGCGGAATCGAACTCATGCGGAAGTGGCTTAAGCTCCTTTGTGCTGGCTTTAACCGGTTGCGCCACCAGGGAGGGCCCATAAAAGCTTCTTTTAAAAAATTAATTATTTACAAAAATTATTTACCTTACATCTTTGTTAAAATTCGGAGAGTATTTGATGTCTCTCCTCAGGTGTAGTCCCTAGTTCCCCACTCCATAGTAGCTATGATCCACCACCGCAGTCCCTGTGCTCTTCTTTCCCCTGTTTTGACCCAGACCCTGCCCTTTGTACCTTAGATCTATGCCCAAAAGCTTCTTCAAGGAGATGAGGCCCATTCTGATTTTTTGTTGTCACTGTTATTTTTTCTTTAACACAGTGAACAATAGGGATTGGCAAAAATATTGATTGGTGCATTTTAAAAATTTTGATGGCCGCTGGAGGTGGTATTGAATTTTGATTCTTAAATATTGTAATTTACAAGCCCGGTTTTGGAAGAGTAGATGTCTCTTCAAAATTGATTTGTTAAGGAAATTGAAGAAGTGCGCAATCTCAGAAGAAGGGCATCGCTTGTAACATTTTCCCTCTATTTTCATTTCGTTTGCTTGCTCAGCTTCACCATGGGCTTGCGTGAAGCTTGGTTCAAACTGCGCACATTGGATTTGAATCCTGTTTGTTTTTTCTTTATAAAATAGGAATGGTGATTCTTCACAAGGAGTAGAAATGATTGTTAAATAAAATCATGAATGTACCTAATATGTCACATTTTAGTCTTGATAGCAGGAAGCTAATTCCATGTTTATTAAAAAAGAAACACATACTGTGTTTATTAAAAAAAAAACTAGTAGAATATTTTAAGCTCAGATTTCTTAGGAATTTAAAGTAAAGGTATCTTTTTTTTTTCTCAATATTTGAGGAGTGTGAACAAATGAAATGAATGGGAAAGACTAAGATGAGTATTATTTGTGCCTTCTAGTTCACCATCCAGTTTTTTTCTTGCCTTCTAGTTCCCCATCAGGCATGATAGAGGGTACCCCACAGCTTCACGCAAATGCATGGAGAGTTTCCTCCACTTGTTTTGCACCTGTTCATGTTCCTATGGTGGATCCCTGTAACATTAATCAGCAAAACAGTAAGTTTCCCTTTTTGTATAAACTTCAGGAACAATTCTAGATTACATAATTTAATGTTATACAATCATTCTTTATAATGTTACCATTAATTTGTAAAATAGTGATTTGCAATTCTGATCCTCTTCATTATGAAGAGAACACATGCCATTCTTATTGCATTTTTATTTGTTATGCCTTTGCATGTGCCTCGTGATATAACTTAGGTTTTTAAAAAACAATCCAGAAGATGATTATTTTATTTGCTACTGTGCATTAATGATTTTTTACTCACTTGAAGTATTTAGAAATCCTTTCTCTCCCAAGGTGAACTAGCATTTTGGAGATCTTGAAATGCTAAAGAGAAATCTTTGAAAATACTTATACTGATGCTATTATAATATTGGGATTGAGATTTCAGTTCCAGAGTGTGATAGCTCATGAACTTAACTATCACATTGTGAGTTCCTGCTGAGGAAACCAGCAGGACACAGGTAACTCACAGGAGCTTTGGGCCATCAGGTGGGCAACAGTTTGAGGTGTTCATGCTCCAAGGTTTTAATATACAATGACAGTGTAATTTACATGCCCAAAATTTTTGGCTATATTTTTTGAGGTAAAGTTGTTTTACATCACTGTTTTGTTTTAGAGGTTGTAGGTTTAAGACTCTACAAATGTATGTTTTCACACCATTCTTACCACCCTAATAGTCTTCTACATGGATTTCTTTTTATTAAAGCCACAAAAAACTTTTTTTTTTTTAGATTTTTTTAAGCATTTATTTATTTATTCGTACAGAACTGGGATACAGGCCAGAGATGTGGAGGGTGAGAGTATTCACCAGAGACAGAGCAGGGAGCAGAACAGGCAGATCGAGGAAGTACACTGCTGAGGGGAGCAGTGGGCAGGGGAGGTCTGCTGCGCCATGTGGTCACCTCCAGGGCTGGCGGGAATGGAACTCATGCTGAAGTGGCTTTAGCTTCTTAGTGCTGTGCTTTAACCCGCTGCGCCACCAGGGAGGGCTTCACAGCAAACTTATTATTTTTTTTAAATGGTTATGGTTTATCCTAGCACAAGGACAGAGATTTAAAATCTGCCAAGACTAAGTGGCCCAGGAGGCTTCTACAGACAGAGCTTTGGGTTGTCCTCTCAGTTTGGAGTTATAGACAGTTTGCTTTCCCCACAACAAACTTTTTAAAGGACTATTTTCTTCTCAATAAAAGGGGACATTAGTTTTTACTAAAATATTTTATGCAAAATAGTGACATATTAGGTGATTTTTCTATAATTTTAATTTGTTCCTCTAATCACTTCATTTTTAAGTAGTGAAAAGTGTTATTTGGCCCTCCCTGGTGGTGCAGTGGGTTAAAGCACAGCACTGAGAAGCTAAAACCACTTCCGCATGAGTTCGATTCCCGCCTGCCCCGGAGTTGACCACATGGCGTGGCAGACCTCTCCTGACCCGCCCGCTGCTCCCCTCAGCAGTGTACTTCCTTGATCTGCCTGTTCTGCTCCCCACTCTGTCTCTGGTGAAGCCTCTCACTGCCCCTGAGCCTCTGGCCTGTACCCCAGCTCTGTATGTACAAATAAATAGTGTTATTTATTATTTTTTAAAGATTTTAGATATATTTTTGTATAGAAGAACTGGGGTGTGGGCCAGAGGTGCAGGGTAAGAGGACTTACCAGAGACATAGTGTGGGAGAAAAACTGGCAGATATACTGAAATATACTACTGAGCAGACAGGAGAGTCTGCTGTGCCATATGTGAGTCAGCTCCCTGGCCAGGAATTGAACTCAGGCAGTAAGTAGCATGATAGTACTGATGCCTAGGCCACCAGGGAGGATGGTGTTATATATTATTACTATATTATTAGTGTATATTATCAATATGCTATATATTAACATATAATAAGTAAATAATATACAATAAATATATTGACATAAACATATTAATAATACTGGTGGGACATCCATGAGAAGCATGGATATGCAATTTCTGTAAGTATGATTTCTGGTTATTATAGTTGTTGTTTTGGAGGATTCTGTTGATTTTCTTATTTGCCCTTTATTATTACAGTTTCAGTGTATAAGAACACAAGTTACTTTTTTTTTCAGTATATTTTGTCTAAGCCAGCATCTAAATTTAAGATGATTATTCCTAAGAAGGTTGTTAAGAAGATCAAAGAAAACCTCTTTGATCATTTTCCTACCATTAATAAAACTACTAAAATAGCCTTTTGTTATCTGTGGCACATTATTTTCATTCTTTAAAATTATTTTTCTTGAGGCAACATTAACTTACAACACTGTACATTTTAGGGACATAGATTCACACCTCTACAAATGTACTTTGTCACACCATACCCACCACCAAAGTACCAACAGTCTTCTACCATAGTTCATAGATTTTCCCCCACCCTCCCTTCCCTTTGCTCCCCCCCTTCAAACCTCCCTTTTGGTTTTGACAGATGTTAAAGGTCCATTTTTCACTTGTTTTGCTTTGTTTCACATATGAGTGAAGTAACCCAGTATTTATCTTTATCTTGACTTACTTTGTTTAACATCATTCTTTCCTTTTCCATCCATGTCATTTCAAATAGCAAAATCTCATTTTTTAAATAACTGAGTAATGTTCCACTTTGTATATATACCATATCTTTCTTAATTCATTCATCTGTCATTGGGTAAATTGTCATGTTCAAGTTGGATTGTGTTGTTTGCATAACTCAGCTATTGTCAATAGTGTTACAATGAACATAGCAATACACACATGTACATACATATATAACAATATATCTATAATACATATAATGACACAGGTGTGCACACACACACATACACTTTGAACTAGTGCTTCTGCATTCTTCTGGTAGATACCTAGGATTGGAATTGCCGAATCACATCATAGATCTATTTTTAATATTTTGAGAGACTTCCATACTATTTTTCATGTGAACGGAGCCAGTCTGTATCTCACAAACAGTAGATAAGGGATCCATTTTCTCCCTCACCAAACTTGTTTTTTCTTGACTTTATGATGGTTATTCTCAAGGGTGTGAAGTGAGATCTCAAGGTTATTCTAAAGGGTGTGGTTTTGAGTGTATTTGCCTGAAGATAAGTGATGACAAACATTTCTTTGTATGCCTGCTGACCATTTGTATATCTTCTTTGGAGAAGGGTCTTTTCGGTATTCAATTATTTTATGTTTTTGTTTGGGTTAATTGTTTTCTTTTTGTTAACATGTGTGTGTTCTTGTCAGTCTTTGATATTAGTCCCTTATCACACATATGATGTGCAAATATTTTCTCTTACTTCATAGGCTAGCTTTTTGTGTTAATGATTGTTTACTTTGCCATGTAGAAGCTTTTTATTTTAGTGAAGTCTCATATCTTTATTTTTGCTTTTGTTTTCATGCCTTTGGTGTTAAACTCCGAAAGTCATCTCAGCAGCCAGTTTTATGGAATTTTTGCCCGTGATTTTGTCTATGTGTTTTCTTGTTTCGATTTATTGTTTGTTCTATATCCAAGTCTTTTATCCCTTTTGAACTGAATTTTGTATGGTGTGAAGTTGTGTCTAGGTTTGTTGTTTTGTAAATTACCATCCAATTTCCTCAACACTATTTGTTAAAGACTTTTCTTGCTCCATTTTATACTTTTGCTTCACTTGTCATAGATTAGCTATCCATGTAGGTGTGGGTTTATTTCTGAGCTCTCAGTTCCATTCTATTATTCTGTTTATTTTTATTACAGTATCACATTGTTTTTGATTACAATAACTTTGTAGTATGGTCTGAAATATGATACTGTCATGTCATTTTGTGTGTGTGTGTGTCAAGACTGACTTGGCTATTTGGGGTCTTTTGTTGTTCCATACAAATTTCAGTAATGTTTGCTTTATTTCTTTGAAGAATATCATTGCAACTTTAATAGGGATCACATTGAATCTGTATATTGCTTGAGGGAAAAGGTCTAGATGAACAATGCTAATTCTTATAATTCATGAGCAGGAAATAACTAACTTTGATCAATCTTCCATTGCTTTGTTTTTCTTTATTATGACAATTTGAACTATTTATGTGGCAGAAAGACAAAGTCTTCCATGTCTTTGGAGACATTTGTCTGGAGAGTCTGGACATTTATTCTGGAGAGTCTTTTTCTCCTCATGTCATATTCTCTTGAGATCTTAAGGTGCTCTGTGCTGTGTTTTTTTCCTGCCTATTTTACTGCTTTAGCTTTCTTACTTTTCTAAAAAAACATGTATAGCCATAACTTAGAGAGTTGAATTCCTTCTAATTTTCACCTACATGTTGTGGTTTTATTTGATTTCATTTCTTTCATCCTTCGCTGGCTTCTATAGGTATTAAAACCTGTTTTGGCGGTCTCAATCATAGGGTTGGGGAGGGCCTAAAGGGGGCCAGCTGCTGGGGTGAAAGTGGAGGGGGGTGGGAGGTGGTGCTATCGGGTCTAGTGTGGCACATGTCTCTCGCACACTGAAATCCCTCCTCTGTGGTGTCTAAGATGAGAGATTGTCCAGTTGTAGGGCAGGGAAGCATCCCAGTACATCTTTCACAAAGGAGCATCTTGCTCTGAGGGGAGCATGCCAGTTTCTGTAGGTGTCATTCTTGTCAATCAGTGGTGTGAGCCTCCATAGTTCTCCTTAACTCTGTCACCTTGACAGAGTGGCATTCCCTAGTAGATTATGACTCTTACCCCAGACTGAAGCCTCCAGGTAGTTCTTTCCACCCCCTCTTATTCAGTGAGACATGGCTCATTCTATGTCTCTTTTGGTGCAATCTTGGTTCAGTCTAGGCTGATCTTTGATGTCCAAAGGTGTTTTAGTTTCAGTCCCAAGCCACGGATTCTCTTAGTTCCCCATTGGTGAACTGCTAGATTTTCCTCTCTGGAGCAAAGTAAGGAATTTCTCTGAGGTCTTCTAAGTTTGACTACTTTTTTCAAGGTTTTTAATCTCAGTTCCATTTAGCAAGACTTGCTCCATTCTGTCCTAAACATTCCACTAATAATTCTGCTCCTTTTACTTCAGTAAGACTTGCTTAGTTTGTTTCTAATTTTCTCAATTCCCTCATTGATGTTTCAGAAATTTTTAATATATTTAATAACATGTAAACGTTTGAGTAGAGTTTAACTGATAAATTCAGTTTCCTGCTCTCTCCTCTGAAGTTACCTCCTCTTTTATGTGATATATATCTATATGTTATTCCCCCATAATATGACATTTATTTGAAATATTATGCGTCTTTCTTTTTGGCATGAAACTTTTTATTTTCCATAAAATTAATCTTTTAATGTATAAATTTAGAAGTAAAGGAAATAACTCAGCCAATAAGTAAATAACTCAGTATGGAATGAATCTGAATGATATTTTATTTTTACAAGTGAGTCACTCTTTTACTTAATGACTTAATGTCAGAGGAATTTTTTTTGGCCTACAAATCCTTAGGGCATACAATGAAGGCTTCATTGATGTATTGCTTTGCCTGGGAGCTCTTGGGGATTAGGAGTATGCATACTAACTGGATACTGTTATGGTCTGAGTCATTTGTTGCCATATACATGTGCATTATGAGACAAAAATAGAGTACTCGGACAGTTACTACATGTTTCCTTATTAATAATAAATAAATTTAAAACACTGAACAAATAATTTCAGTGTAAGTCCCTAGTGGTGAAAAACAATTTGCTCTCCAGCAGTTTACCTGGTTTCTAAAAAACAATGACAACCCAAAGTTGTTTAATTTTGTCTGTGAGAAGATCAGTGCAACCTAGATCTTCTATATCAAGCTTTCCCAGACATAGCCTTTTTCAGAAAGCTGCAATCTAGGTAGTTTTGTCAAACTTTATTACTCTCATAAAGGATTTTATCTGATGAGTCATTCCAAGAAAAAAGTCAACAAATTTCAAGAACGCAGCCCTCCCAAAATTGGGTTGCTAGCTATATCTCATGGCCTTAGCAAATGATGAGTGTTTGGGAGGTTTATCTATAGATATCCATAAGTTATATTTATTATTCATTTATTCATGCATTCATTGATTGACTTACTGGATATTAATGAGTTACAAATATCTGCCAAGCACTGTGCTCTGTGCATTGTGCCTTGTGCAGACATTATATTCAGTGATGATGTGGCATCTGCCTCATTATCATTCACCTCAGAGACTCCATTAAAATTAGATAATTCCAGATGAGTTGAATAATTGTGTATTCCTAAGAGTTGTCATAATCTCCACAGTCTGGCACCACTTTTATAGTGTGTGGGTATCTGTGGATAAGCTTCCCAATACTCATCATTTCTTCATTACAGAATTCCCAGAGGATCCTCAGGCAATGGTGGATGGAAGTCACTGCTTATATCAATGCTGCTGTTAGTCATGCCCTTCAGCTAACAGTCTACTGAATACAGAATAGGTGTTATTACTGCAATAACCAAAAATAAGCCAAACCAGAAAAATCTGTATAAATTAAAAATATTAACCTTCTTTTGAAAATCATATATAATACAGTATATTTCTAGGAAAGCAAGGTGACTGGAAATGTCTGCAACATACTTCTTGGGGATGAGATCTGCTCTAGTAAATGATGTGTTAATGGGTTTGTTGTCTCTCAGTTGGATATGCAGCACACTGCGATGCCATCCACCAGGAGCTCTTTGCTCCTTGCCACTTCTACGTCAGCCCTGGGCTGTATTACCAGCTGTGCCGCCATGATGCCTGCAAGTGTGGCAGCCCCTGCCTGTGCAATGCTCTCGCCCACTATGCCTACCTCTGTGGCCAGCGTGGTGTCCCCATTGATTTCAGAGCTCAGATTTCATTCTGTGGTGAGTATGATGTCCTTGTCAAAGATTTAAGCAATCACATGTCACTTAAGATGGTTTTACACTTGTAAGTACTGCGTTCAATTTTTAGGTCAATCTTGCTTCCGTTATCTGAGGTATAATTTTAATATGAAAACATAAAGAAGTGAAAGAGTACACTTTTTGAAACTGGAACTATGTTTGATAAGACCATTAAGTGACTTTTGGCTATAAGCAAAATTATAACTATATATTTTGAAATGTGCAGCAGAAATAATTTGAAAAATTTTTTATAGATATATTATATATAAATATTGGAAAGTCTGAAAAGCATTATGTGATAAAGCAACGTATTTAATTTGTTGGTAAATAGGTGATTTAAATCACAGACAATTACTATTTAAAGTTCTCGGGCTCTAATCTTCATGATTATGGTATCTGTTGTTCTCAGTCATCATAGGTTGTTTCTTTATGCATGTTATACTTTTTTTTTTTTTAAAGATTTATTTATGTATGCATACATAGCTGGAGTATAGACCATAAGTGCAGGAGTGGTGAGAGGATTCACCAGAATCAGAGTGGGGAGCAGAATAGGCAGACTGACGAAGTACACTGCTGAGGGGAGCAGCAGGCGAGACAGGAGAGGTCTATGGGACACCTCCTTGGCCGTGGATTGAACTCACACTGAAGCTTCATATTGCTGTGCATGTACTTGTTGTGCCACCAGGGAGGGACCTAAAATGTCCATGTCTTAAATAACATAGTTAGACTATTAAGGAATGTTATGGAATGACACCTTTAAAAATGTTCAAGGGAAAATATTACATTCCTATATACGTCTACTGAGGCAAACGATTACCCAATTTTTAATTTATTTTAGGAATAAGATTCTGTGAGCTTCTAGATTTGTTGAAGTGAGATAACTTCTTTTTCCTCATGATTCATGTCTTTCATAAATCTGCCACATAGCGTAAATATATTTGCACCCCATAGAATGCTCATGCACTGTTCAACAAACGCTCCTCTGTCCGCAGGGGTGGTGTGCCAGAAGGGCATGCTTTACCACCACTGCTCCTCGTTTTGCCTTCGCTCCTGTGCGTCTCTCTCTTCCCCGGAGCAGTGTAACGATGACTGTGCTGAAGGCTGCAACTGTCCCGAAGGCAAATACTATGAAGACACACTTAACTTCTGTGTGCCCATGTAAGTCACAGAAACAGGTTAGAGCAGTCATTTTTATCTTTTTTTTAAGATTTATTTTTATTTATTTATGCATACAAAAAGGGGGGTGCAGGCCAGAGGTGTGGCGGATGAGAGGATTCATCAGAGACAGAGTGGGGAGCAGAATAGGTGGATCTACTGAGATCCACTGCGAGGGGAGCAGCAGGGGAGTCAAGAGAAGTCTGCTGTGTCATGTGGGTCAGCTCAGGGCCAGGGACTCAACTCCTGTGCAATGGCTTGATAGCTCTGAGACTTTAACCCCTGTGCCACCAGGGAGGTCCCCTGTTTTTATCTTTTTTCCTTTATAAGTTAAACGGACTTTTATGCATCTCTGTTATTGACTCAACATCTTTTACTAGAAAAATAATTTATAAATTTTATCAAGGACTGAAGTCACTTTTGCCAATAAATAAGTGTGTGTGTGCGTGTGTGTGCAAACACACACAGATATAATTGTGAACTCATGCTTTTAAAAAGAAATTTTCTTAATGTTTTTACCTGTGTATTTTAAATCCTTATATATGTTCACAAAGACCTATTAAAAAAAAAAAGCTTAGGAATCTGATGTTTAATCCTGAAGCTTATTCCTACTTGTTCAGAACCATATCAAAAAAAAATTTTTTTTAAGATTTATTTATTTATGCATACAGAACTGGGGTGCAGGCCAGAGGTGCAGGGGTGGCGAGAGGCTTCACCAGAGACAGAGCGGGGAGCAGAACAGGCAGATCTACGAAGTACACTGCTGAGGGGAGCAGCGGGCGGGTCAGGAGAGGTCTGCCACGCCATGTGGTCTCCTCCGGGGCAGGCGGGAATCGAACTTAGCTTCTCAGTGCTGTGCTTTAACCCGCTGCACCACCAGGGAGGGCCCTATCTGGCCAATTTTAATAGCAGGGTTGAATACCATTTGGCACTCAGAAATTTCTCCAACCTCATATGTGCTAAAGCTTTGGACTTGTACTTAAGGGCTAAATGTATATTGGTTATGTTTCTCTGAATTACATTCAGTTACTTTTTGGAGAGCTAAAACAACACATTCTTTATTGTAGTCAAAACAGTATAGATTTTGTATTTTTAAAAAATATGAAGCTACACAAGATTTCACATTTAAATGGTTTCTGCCATTTGTAAAACAGAACTGCATGCAATCTCATAGAATGATGTTAACTTTAGAGTGTGTTATAAACTTATCACTACAGAATATAAGGTCAGCTTGAATTTTAGTGTTTAAATCCTATTTTAGGTTATATTCTATTTTGCTAATTGAACCTTTTTTTTTTTTTTTTTTGTAGATTTCACTGCCGGTGTCATTATAGGGGCAGTGTTTATCAACCTGGAGAGCTCATCCCAACACCCTCAGGCTTATGGTAGATTTCAATGATGGTGATTGTATTTGACAAATAACCTTCTTTAATATCAAATCAGAACCATAAGTGAAACTATGATGTCTACAATTAAATAACACATAGGACATTAAGATAACCTTCTGAGCCATATGTCTATTGTATTTCAACATGGAAGCCTATGTTGTGTGTTCATAAGTATGGGAAAGAGTTACAAACAGAAATATCATGCAGTGAATTGGAAGTATTTTAATCAGCTTGGTCCTCAGATAGAAGTGAAGGGTGAGATCAGTGTTCAGATGCTGTAAGATACTGAATATTTTTAGCTTTGTGGTCCATTGACTGGCTCAGATCCAGCAAATTCAAAATGGATTTAACCAATAACACACTGGAGTCAGCATGGACTGCTCCCCAGCCACATGGATCTGAGATAACACTTATTTATAGCATAACACTCTCTCAGGTTGAAACCTGTCTGTTAAAAATGCAGACAAGTCCATGCAACATTCCACTTTGATCTGTATCCTACTTCTAACTCCCTCTTATTGTGGCACCATAAGTGCTGGTAGATAATGATAGACAGTAGAGAGTAGTAACAATCTGATAAAAGCAATAATGATACATCTATTACTGTGCACTTTCTGCAGCCCTGGCACCATTCTAAATGTTTTGTATCCATTATTTAAAAACCTACACATCAGTGAAACCCTAAAAGATCGGTGTTAGAGCTATATTCCCAGTTTTTCAGCTGAAGAAAATGAGGCGCAGGCAGTTAAGCGATGGTCATAAAACTGGGCTTAAACTCCAAGGACCCTCCTGCTGTGCTTGCTTCACTGCCTCTCTGCCTCTGCAGCTTGTTCATATTCACAGGAGAATATTGTTTATGCTCAACTTACATTTACTGTTGTCTCAATTTCCCCTCCACCCACCAGTGAAAATATAAAGGTAGGCAGGTCTTGGATCTTTCTCTGGTAGATCTTTCTCTTGGATCTTTCTCAGTTACTCAAGCCAGGAATCTGGGAATCATTTTTGACTCCTTTCTCCTACTTAAAACTCTTACTCAGTAAAACCCCCAATAGGTTTTACTTTCTACATATAGTTGAAATCCCCTCATTCTGTCATGGCTACCTTAGCGATGTTTCTCATTTTCTTTCTTTGGCCTTTTCTACCTATTCTTTTTTTCTCTCTAGTCTTACCCCTTCCGTTTACCAAGAACTTTATAGCCTTCTTGAATTTATCATTTTGAATTTATTCATGTAAAGTTGACAAAACAAAAGAGCCATAACTCCTTAATGAGAAAAAACAGTCTAATTAGTACAGCTACCTCATTGACCTTCTCAAAATGTTTTTCCCGGAATGAAGATGAATGGAAGGAGCTGAATCTGGGACCTGTGATTTGTCACAGTTCCTCCAGCCACTCAGTGCGAGTGAATCTCACCTCTGGGTGTCACCTGGTGTTAGATATTGTATAAAAACAGTTTTCATGTAGTATTTTAGTCAACTTCATCCAGGCTCACATGTAGAGCACATAATTTGGTACAAATTATGGGGGGGGGGGAAACTGTTTGTGTTGGAGTTACTGAGGGCAGCTCTATTACTTCTCTCAGTTTCTTAAGTGATTCAAGATGAATTAAGAAAAATTTAAGATGACAATGGCTTACATCATTATTTTTATTTTGGAACTGTAGGACCCGCCCTTTCACTGTTGTTACCATAGTGCCCCGCCACTAAAACACCCACAGCCCACCAAGCTAGTCCATTGTGCTCCCTCCTCACTTTGCCCTCTCCTCTCCCCCTGCCCTCAGTTCTGGATTCCTCAGTTCTGTCATCAGCTTTCAAGGGTTAGTTTATAAGTTTGGCTTTCTCTGACCTACTCTCTGGTTTCTCTGGATTTCACATATAAGTGGCACCATCCAGTATTTGTCTTTCTCTTCCTGACTTATTTCACTTAGTCACGTATTGCCTGATTTGGTTTTTGTCTTGTGCCCTAACTTTAGGACCTACATTATGCATCTAGTCTATCTTTTTTAAAGATTTATTTATTTATGCATACAAGAGCTGGGGTCTAGGCCTGAG